CAGCAAGTAGGGGATATTACCTTGGTGTGTGTCTGTGTGTGTGTCTGTGTGTGTGTGTGTGTGTGTGTGTGTGTGTGTGTGTGTGTGTGTGTGTGTGTGTGTGTGTGTGTGTGTGTGTGTCTGTGTGTGTGTGTGTGTGTGTATTTGTTGGGTGGTGCAGGTGTGTGTGTGTGCATTTACAGCCTAAGGGTTGTATTAAGAGATGGTGCTGAAGCAGCCCTTTCTCTCTATTCTACACCAGTCTATTAGTGCTCACTGCTGTTACCTCACTTTAGCAAAAAATGGCCCCCGCTGCTCCAGGGGGTCTGTGTTTGTGAGAAACAGTGAGGGAGTGTGAATGTGTGTGTGCAGTGGAGCTAAGCAGAGGCATCACTCCATCTTTGTGTATACCGACAGTAAATCTGCACACACTTGCAAGCAAGTGCGCACGTCTGCTAATGCACACCCACACCTTCCTTTCATCAGCAATTAATAAAAGTCTTTTCACTGACTGTCTGGTTGACTTTTCTTCACTGACATTACACACACACACACACACACACAGTAGCTTCTAAGCTTAATATTACCAGGGCCCTGAAACAAAACAGAAATATGGCCACAAGTACTCTCCCTCGGCTTTGAACTTCCCCGGCATTTGCGTTTGAAACCCTGATGAAAAAAAGCTTCAAAGACCACACTCCCTCTCTTCAAAGGAGACTCAGGGTTGTCTCAACAGTCCTTGTGGAAGAGAAATTTAAAATGTGTATTGGGTTTTTAGCAAGGAGCATTATCTCCAAAAATGCAATGAACTGCCATTACTTTTGGCCCTTGCTGCCTTGTATCATGAGGAGAGAGTAGAAAATGGATGTGCTCGCTAAGTGCCTTTTTATAAAGAGGAAATTACAGTTATTTGACTCCTCAGCAACATTCCAAAGAGCATCCTCGTTCTAGATACCTCCCTGTTTGTTCTTCATGACTTCATGCAGCATGTCTCATCCTTCTAAAACCCTGTCCGCATGATCAAAACATCAGATCTGTTCATCTTTAAAGCCTAATGCTCTTTGATGGATCACTGTTCAGGACAAACATTTGTACAGGTGCGCTCATATCTCTCTGATGAATGAATTGTAATTGAAACCCAAAAATCACAAATTATTTGAATACAGAAACAAAAATCACCAAATTATTTCAAAATAAAAGTACTTTGCCTCTCAGATTCTCTGAAACTATTTCGGATGTGAGTAACAGCTTCTTCTTTTTTTTTGCAATGATTTTCATTAGTTTGTATTTGTGTATGTTTATATGTGTGTGTTCAGCTGGGCTCTCGTGGAGGTGTAAATTGCAGATAGTGGATAAAGATTGCCACATGTGCTAATTGTGCTGTAGAGGACCTATGGGAACACTAGCATTACAAGGACCAAGCACATACATGTGAAAACATACATAGTTAAAACTTAAAAGCATCATTACTGTCAAAAAGATACAAGCATGACCACAGTCATCTCATCATCATCATTTAAACAAAGCCCGTGTTACACTACAAAAAAAATGCACATGTACTGCAAAAATACACACACTTGTACACAAAAAGTTACATATCCTCTAAAGTTACTGCCAGACAATCTTGGACACAAGACACACAAGTAAAAGGAAGATGGCCTGGATGGTGAAGGCATTTCCATACTATTTATTTGTTTTACATTTTCATTCGTAGCTAGCTTTTTTTTCCGTGGACAGGCAAAGATATACAGTCAGCTCCTGCTGACATTTAGGTCTCTCCCCTCTCTCTCTATCTCTCTCTCTCTCTCTCTCTCAGCAGCATGCGGAGAAGAGCTGCACGTCAAAGATTCAGTGTATGAATTATTAATGGTACGGATTAAACGTGCCAGGACTCACTGTGGAGCCTGTTTGTTTTATTTTGACGTAATTATTTAATGGTACCTTGTTAAAAATGATAGTGAGGAGAGGAAAGGAGAGGAGAGGAGAGGAGAGGAAAGGAAAGGAAAGGAGAGGAGAGGAGAAAGCAAGGGAGGAAGGACAGAGGAGAGGTGAGAAGAGGCTTTGTTTGGAAAAGTAATTGGTTGTGAAATAATTACGATGTGCTCCAAGCTTGACTCATTCATGGGGGGGGGGGGCGAGGCCTTGTCAACTCTACTACTTCTTCTCTCTCATCTGTTTTTCAATTCTTTCACAACAAGGTTCTCAGTTTCTTGTTTTTCTTTCTTTTCCCTCTTTGTCTTTGTTTTCTCTCTGTCTCTTTCTCTCTCTGCACACACACATATACACACACTCATATGTCTTTGCATTAAGCTCATCTCTGGTGACAATTTACATGGCTATGTGGAAAGAGTAGTGGAGCATGGAGGGCACAGTTCCCTATTTATACCTTCATAGTGACACACACACACACACACACACACACACACACACACATACACACATACAGTACAAGCTGCTGTCACCACCACTCTGCCATCCAAACAAACACAGTCTGACAGCATAGCTGGTGCCTGGCATGCATCCTTGCACACACACACATACACAAACACACACGCACACACACACAAAGACTAGCCTTTACTGTAGGGTTGGCTTTCATAGTTTAAGGGTTCAGTAAACTCCTGCTAGCACGCTTCATCCCCACTACCCATCCACCCATCTAAAACCGCGCAGCAGCTAAATCTGTCCCTGCAGCAACAAGTGGCCATGACCCTCTCCAAGACGCTTTAGGCTTCTCCTGTCACACTTACACACTACTAACGCTTACACACATACTACACAAACATCACAATGTAGTGTTAATATACACACTTTAGCAGAAACAAGCACATTCATGAGAGTGTAGATCATCAGGGGCAGCATTTTCCTACATACGACTGCACACAAACATACATACACACATACCAGTGGCGGAAAGTGGCTCAAATACTGTATTTCAGCATAAGTTTGTGGAACTTATATTTAACTGTAGTATTACTGTTTTATGCAACTTTTTCCTCCACCATGTTTATTGGACATCCATAGTTACTAGTTATTAAGTTACTTATTCAGATAAAAATGAAATTAAAGTCCCAACACAAATACGAAAATTTAAAATTTCCTCTCCTCAAGCTGGTATGTTAAAGGGCTTATGATAATAAGCCAGTTACATAATGTATATCATAATAACCATTCTGGAATGGGCACACAGTCCTGCTAGCATTTGTGTATTTTTACTTAAGAAAATTTTTTAAACGAGGACTTGAAATTGGATATTTTTTCATTGTGGTATTGCTACTTTTACTTAAGTAAAGTCGTACGTCTTCCATTGTGTTATCTCAGAGTTGCTTCAACGTTCATAAACTGACGTTTCCCCTTCACTCCCGCCACATGGTGATGGACTAACTAATCGAATATTCTCTCTTTGAAGCAACGCCGCTGGATCTATTCATGTGTGAGGCAGGGGGTCTGTGTGTATGTATGTGTCTGTGTGTGTGGGTGTGTGTGTGTGTGTGTGTGTGTGTGTGGGTGTGTGTGTGCGTGTGTGTGTGTGTGAATATTTGAGAACATATCCTATGTGCCTTTGTGCTATTACGTGTGTTTCCTTGTGTGCTTGAGTGTGTTTATTTACACTTGTTTGTGCAATTACTTTTACGCCTGTGCGTGTGTGTGTGTGTGTGTGTGTGTGTGTAGGCGGCCGGCCGGGTGGATGGAAATGTTGTTTATGCAGTTTTATGCAAAGCAATTATGTTGACTTAATTGGGTTTGTTTATGTGGAGAGTGTGCCACCCCCAGTCATGTATTACTGCTATCATGGACAGACACATCACAGACACACATATGCATACACACTTCTTGAAACAGCACTTTCTACTGCATGATTGACTAATGTGAAGTGTTCCTCTATTAGAGCAAATATATATTCACTGTGAGTTTTAAGGACACTGTAGCAACAAAATTGTGTTACTACAGCACTCCAGCTGTACTTCATCCACGGTCCATGATTAGTATCGGCACATATTCCTATTTCTATAGAAAAGCAAATCATATACTGTAATTGTAAAAATATATACTGACAATCATCACTGAACATGTACAGTTGAATAACTTCAACATTTCTTGCATGTTTGTTCATGTTGCATGTCAAATACATTATATTTAAGCACTGTATTACCCATCTCATCCACAGAAATGTACAATCAGTATAGTTTAAATTAACAAACCAGTTTTCCCCTTGTCTTTCCCTCTCGACATTGTCTCAGTTTTGAATCCAAAGATAAAAGGTTAATTTGCCATCTCTCTCCTTCCTCTGGGCCAAATCAATCCACCATAGTCTCCGTCTGCCATTGTTCTAATCAGACCCTCAACTCACTATTGGATTTCAATGGAACAGGCGCTGCCCAAAGACCTGCACAACCACCTAATCAATGATCCTCAAATGGCTGTGGTTTTCCATAGGGGATCGCTCTGACTTTAATGCTTACACAAGGAAGTGGCACAGGGTCCAATGACTTGATATGTCCTCTGGAAGTGCATTTGTCATTTAGCTAATAGTGAATCACAAACAACTTCATGTATAGTGATTGTGCTTGGTTCTTGTTGTTGTCTGTAAACGCTAAATTCTCGACACTCTAGACAAAGCCAGGGCAGCCTCTGTCTAAGCAACACTACAGCTTAATACTGATAATTCCTCATTGTTTTTCTTTTGTCAATCAAATGACGGGGAACTTTTTGAACCAGGTAACTTTTGCAATTGAAAGAAATGCAGAGAAAGACAAAAGTGGTCTTTCAGGGCTTTATTGTTACAACAGTTTCTGCAATTTCATTCAATTTTCGAGCAAGGCAGATAGGAAGCAAATATAAATCCATTTTGTATTGGTCGCTTTCATGCAAATAATGGAATTCAATTCATGCAAAACATTTTTTCTTTTAATGTGACAGCTTTTGTTAGAGAGACAGGATTGTACCATTGTAGCCCTAAAATGAGTCGGTGCCACATGTTTGTCTGAATCTTCAAGTCCTGACTTCATGTTGTTGTGCAGGTTCCACCATGGCCCCACAGAGCTCTGGCAACGGACCAGATGGATCCCACCCACCAATCACCCGCTCACCTATGGCTCAGGAGAGAGGTATGTGTATGTGTGTGAGCCACTGGCTTACATTTGATATTTGGCCTTGTCTGGTGGGAGAATAGTGAAGGTTGTAATAGTGGAATGCCATGTGTGTAAATATGTGTGCGTTCATGGCATTATTTTTATTTTTAGTGAACTTATTTGCTAGAAGCCTTAGGAGACCCAGTGTGTATGCTGTAGCCTCTGTCTGTATATCACATAAATAATAAAGATATACTGCGTACTTACAAAATCAAACCACTCAAAAATGGAAAAAGCTTTGTTTCTGTAGTGAGGAGTGCATGAAGATTAGAGACATTAGCAAAGGGAAAACAGAAATGGTATGTTAGCAAAGTTCAGAGAATAGCACCACTAAAGATTTTCTGACTTCAAGCATGAGGCCTTAGCACAGACATGTAAACAATTGTACTAGACTGGCTTAATGCAACATTTTCTGTCTGTAAAACCATACTGTTCCATAATGAATTCCTTCAGCAAGTATACCGCCCTCTTTACAATTTCCATAATGCTCTGCACTCTTGACAACACTACTATGTGTTTGAAACTTTTTAAATACACACAGGATCAAAAAATAGTCGCTGTAGTTAAGGCTGAGCAGGTCCACACACACACACACACACACACACACACACACACACACATACACACACACACACACATACACACACACACACACATACACAAGGTCTTAGCGTTATGCTTTGTAGGTCATGGGAAAACCACCGTTTTGTAAAAATGTTACAGTAAATATTCACTCAACTTATCCTGGATTTTGTTCAAGTCAGAATGTGTGTTCTTTTGATAACAGCACTTCAGTTTTGACCACAACTTGTTGTCAAAGGCTTAAAACATGAATGCTAACCCACAAGCCACATGTGCCAGCCAAACACGAATGTTTCCAGTAATTATGGCCACTTCTCGACTATCTCTAAAAGCGTCAGAATCGCTCGTTTAAAAACAAAAAAAATCAGCATCCACACAACTTTGCAAACAAGCTGAAAGACTAGGATGTAACCTTAATGGAATGACTGTGATGCTCCCTCTCTATCACCCACCAAAGAGCAGTTAAGTCAGAGAGAGACAGAGGGAGTGGATGGATGAAGACAAAGAGAGAGAGAAAGTGAGGCGCTGTAAAAGGTTATTTCCCAACATGATGAAATCAAGCTGGAGATTTAATGCTGCTCTCTAATGCCTGTAAACCTCGAGCCCTCCCCAGCCCAGTCCAGGAAAACACAGTGCTGGTTAACAGGACTGGCTGTTGTTTTCGCCTTTTTTTTCTATCTAGGATTAAACCCCCACCCACCCCCACCCCCTCCCGAACACACACATCCCACTTTGCTCAAGTGCCTGCCTCCCTAAGAGCCTCTCTCCACTCTTCATTTCCATAAATCCGCTGAATGTCCCTTTTTTGCCCCCCCCCCACTTTCTCTCGTGTGCTTCGCCGGCTGCCTGTTGTTGTTGTTGTTGTTGTCCGGCTGAGAGCTTCATTCGCTTTGCTTGAAAGAGAGAAAGGTTTATGTGCATGTGTGTGTAAAGAGGGAGAGGGAACGAAGCAGAGAGAGAAATCCTTGAATGTGTTATTTGCTTTTTTAGCACTGTCTGCAAAATGTTCCTCTCCCCATCCATTTTCCAGGCAATTTAAAGTGCGGTATTACACACTGTATTTTTTTTCTCCTCCTCTCCCAGAATCCCCTTACCCTAATGGAAGCAAAACATTACAATAATGTCCTCGCTCCTTAAACCCAGCACTCGCAGCCTAAGCACTTTCAGGCCCCAATCGCTCTTTCCCTCCGTTGCACTGTCTTTCCCTCCCACACACACTTCTCTCTCTGCCTTTCTTTCTGTCTTGGCCTCTGTCTCTTTCCCACACACAAACACACACTCACATACAGCTTTTATTGCTCTCCTTCTCTGTTATCTACCCCCCCCACCACCACCACCACCACTCAGAAGCACAAATATGTACATGCATGTATACCCACATAGCATTTTTAAACTTCTATCTCCTTCCTCTCCCTTCCCATTTTCTCTTGCTCTCTTAGCAAAAACAAGGAATTATACAAGTGTCAACTTGCACTTTCCAACCCCGTCGTTTCCCTAAACACCAAACTCACTAAAGAGTCAGTCTGTGCACGCTCAGTCAATAAAGCGGATAGCTATCAAAGTTTACACTCGAGCAGACCCAATCCATTTACACCTAATCTGCTATACTGAATCCCCCCAACACACACACACAGACACACATCCACACCCACACACTCTTTCTTTTTCCCTCAATGGCCGTCCAGCGACCTTTCCCCATTCGTGGTGGATTGGGAGACCTTTCTGTGGGTTTTAAAAACGAACGGGGCGGTTTGAAAGAGCGAAGCCCAGGCGAGGATCGCTCCAAATGTCAATTTGAATGGTGGAGGCGAGTTTGGGCCTGAGAGGCTTTGACACATCTATTGACAGAACGGCTTAGAATAACATAGTAGCCATGGTCAAATCACTGGTTTATTCTGTGGAGAGTAGAGAGTCTTTTTTTTTTTTTCAACTTGAGCGTACCAATTCTTTGGCACATACACGTAGACCCAGCTTTTGCAGCAACATACATCTTTCAGGCCAGGTATACACTTGACCTGTGCTTTTGCAAGTGATAAAGTTCATTACATCTTCTCTCTGTGTTTGTTTATTTGTGCTCAGGGTTTACTTTAAATGTCAGCCTGTCCATTTTGTGTGCTGTGTGCATGCTATGTTACTTACCGATGTGTATTTATGAGTAACAGGAGCCAGTGCCAAGATAAAAGATTAGAGTTTTCAAAAGGAAGGGTCTCTTTACAAGAGGAAATTGAATGGATATCCTCCATTTATCCATTTATTGAGCCAGAGAATGATCCCATCTACCCACACTCAGTCCCTCAGTCAACATTTGATTTCACTGAGCAGGTACATTCATGGCTGAAGCACCCTCTGGGTTTTTTTTGTGTTTTATAAGCAAAGTGTTAACATTGCTTTTTGTGTTTATTTGTGTTTTTCAGGGTTCATGTCTAACATGCAGAGGAACCAGGCTGGCTCCCAGTTTGCTTCTCCTCAGTCCGGACCCTCCATGTCCCCGCACCCTTCACCTGGGGGCCCATTGTATCCAGGGATGGGTCCTTACTCCCAGAGCGGCCCCACAGGCCCTTATGGACCTCAAGGATCTCAGTATGGACACCAAGGTTGGAGCCTGTGTGCCTAAATGGGCATTTAGTACACATTAAAACTTGTTTTCAGTGGCAGAATTACACATAAACGAATTTCTGGAAGATCGGTCCATTGATTAACCTTGTACTGAAAAAGCACGTACACCAATGTCATCTGTAGGTCTTTGGTAGGCTAGCGGTTCCAGCGCTTCACACAGACTATTCAACTAAACTACTGTACTGGCGAGCTAATCACCAACACGCTAGCAAGACAGGAACATGCTAGCGTGAGTCAGTAGCTCTCCTAGCTGAAGTTTTTTTGGTATTATACATTATTTCATTCAATGAAGAGTTTTATTAAAGAGGTAAATGTTTTGCAGATAGTCTCACAACTGTCTGCAAATACTAGACGGTTCAACACTGCTAATAAGCTACAATACGTTTTTCCATTTTGGACTCTGCGGCTGTCCATTCCCTCAAAGGCGAGCACTGCTGAGATGCCTTGGTGTATTGGTCAACGGCACAAATTTGCACATAAAAAGATCATTAAAGTTCAAAATGTTGAGATAATTCTTGATATTGAGTTCACTGAATTGTTAGTTTAGAGCCCCTGAGCCATTAATCTACTTAAGACTCAATGGCTGATCTGGGACTCTAGGTTTGTAATTTGACCAAAGAGTAAGTCCACGCTAAATTTCCTTTAAACGCGAATGTGTCATTATCTTGGTGCTCTATTATTAAACTAAGTCCTTGGAGCAGTAAATATGAAACAACTCCTGTCACTCTTTGTCAAAAATAGAGGATATAACTTTCAAGCCACAGTTTAAAAAAGACTATTCAAAACCAAAAGCGAGAGAATTTGATTTCACACAAGCTATGACGCTTTTCAAGTTTTCAGATGAATTATTAATCATGAAAACCATTAACAGGCTCTGTATTGACTTCTTTTGTTGACTTTTACCTGACACCAGATTTGTGGAGAAGCTTCTGCTTTCTGACTAGTAATATGGAAGTGATGAATACCTTGTGTATCATTCATTCAGAGAGGTTATGGAGCAGTTTGGCCTCAAAAGGGAATGTCACATTAGTCTTTTTTGATGAATGTTGGCCACCATTCCGCAGTCACACTGGGCCTTGACATCAGTGTCACTGGTTTCAAAGAGAGTTTGCTAATGAGGAATACAAAAAGACTCACTTTGAAAGACATATCCATCTTCTGGTTCTGTTTCTAAATCTATTTGTCTCGTTCCGCAACTCATACACGCACACACAGCCACAGTCTTCTCCCGTCCTCTGCGGTGGGTCCCACTGCGGGCATTAAAAATTGGGATTTCTGAGAGTGTGACTCTAAGAATATTCATGAGACACTTGAACCCTGGACAGACCTCTTGACTCTCCTCATGATAACATTATGAGGTAGCTCCAGACTGACAAGGCAGACTGACACGTTGTGAGGTTTATCCACTGAATGATGATGTCTAATCCTGTAATCGGGCTCAATGTTTTAATATAAGCCTCTCAGAAAAGGGGCCAGTGTTTTTAAAGTCTTATTAAAGACAATAAAGGCCCTACTCAGATGTGATATAATAGTAGATAATTGCTAAATTTCCTTCAAATACATGTTAGATACTTTTGTAAATTTGGTAGTAGTGATTTTTTAGTGATTGCAGAGGGATGTTATGTCTAGATAAGAGCAGTCTCACACGTTCCCTAATCCTAAATCCAGTACCAAAAATAGGAACTTCAGAAATAGTTATGGCACCTTCTCATGTCTTAAAAGCACAGACTCGACTTCTAATGAGACGTTTACTGGGTTTGACATGTTGCGATTCATCAGTCTTTCATGAAATACTGACAACTGCAAAGATTCATATTTAGCGTCACACATGGAGGGAAACTCTGCTCTGAGGAGTCCAGCTTGTTGGACCATTATGCACAACATGCAAACACAAGGCTTCAAATATCAGTAATCAAAAGTATCTTAAGAGTTTAAAAGTGTATTGCTTCACATTTTAATATATGCAACTAAACTAACAGAATATATCCAGTTAGATTTTAAACTCTCTGCTAATTCAAGCTGCTGTTGTTCCAAATATTGTTAACTAATTTGAAAAGTGTTAAGTTAAAGTCCTCAGTGTGATCAATGTGGGAACAACATATCTGTATTTGTTTGTTCCTGAATAATCATCGTGATAAAGCCTTCCAGACTACAGTCTTTGCTTCAGTTTACCATGTATGCAGGCCTGTTTGATGAACCATTTGGTAAATCAGTCACATCAACCATCGATTTTTTGATACTCAAGAAAGAAAAAAAAACTTGGAAAAAAAAACAAGTAACAGATTTCAGGAAATTTGTGGGGAAAAAAAGTTTGGATCGCTCTCTATAATTAAGCATTCTTCGCTCGCTTGTTTTCTCCAACGTGCGACTCCAGGCCATCCAACAAACGTTGACATCTGCTGTTGTACTTCGTTTTCCGCCTTTGGCAACACACCAGACGAAACATTATGGTATTTTTTTGGTAAATGTGTGTTTTAATGTGTCACCTTGATAAATGCGCCCATCCGTGCGTGTGTTTTCCCAAAACTGCAGCCTCTCTCTCGCATTTGTTAATGTTGATTAATAGCCCTAATGCATTTGGTATTTGGTCTCCCTTCTCCACCCACTCTTATCTCTTAATGTGACTTTGGCTGGGCTGACAGCCCAATAAGCAGAGAGAAAAAGAGAAATAAAGTAAGCAGAGAGCGACAGCGAGGCGGACTAGCCTGGAAGAGGCTCTGGAGGCAGATGAGCGTGAAATCTCACTCCGATGACAGGAGAGATGTTCTCATCAGAAACAGAAAGAACGGCTCAGAAATGCTGTCTTCTCATCACACACATATACAGTATATATTGTATATGTATGTATATTCTCATTCAAATTTAATACACTTGCAACTCACCTGCATCTGTCCTGCATTAGACTGTTCAATATATTCAGACAACAGCACAGGGAGTCCCAAAAAAAAACTGGCACTTGTGTGGCTGCATTTGTGTTTGCACACAGTATTGCCAAGAGCATGACACACAAAAATATGGATTCTGTTTTCTTTCCCTCATCTGTCATTTTACTCTCACCTATATACCTACGCACACTCTTCAACCTAATTTTAACCTAATCTAATCCTACTTTAACCCTTTAACCCGCAACCCTCCCACGTTAAAATAACACAATGGGCTGCACTGGTGGAAAGAAGAAGATAAAATGCAATCCAGGAAGTCCAGTTCTAGTAATGTAAAACGCTGCACAGCACAACAGTACTTCTCTGAAATAGGATTTCATGATTCTCAAATCAAATCTCAATGATTACGAGGTAAAACGAAGCATTAATATTCTATTAATATTATTCAGAGGCCTCTGGTCACCACCCCCACTGTGTCCTAATGAAATAAATAAGACTGTTGTCAGTCAGAATATGGCCTTACCTGAACATGAACTCTAACAAGTTTAAACCCTTTTAAACTGGTAAAAGTTTTCAGTGTGGGGTATTTTCCATGTGTCTCCATCCTTTTGAGCACATGTGTTCCTCTTTGTTATACAATCAGACACTTCTCAGTCAGAAATATGAAAACATTATTCCCAATGCCATACAGTACTGCAGATTCCAACAATCTTCAGCACAGGAAACTATTCATATGGACTACAGGTCAGAGCCAAGGCCCCAGTTCTTAGAGGGCCCATCAGAGGCCTGTGTAAGCTGAACAGGGCAGACAGCTGCTGGTCATTGTTCTTAATGACAGCTCCATCTGCTCCCCTTTCCTCTTCCTAGTGCACTAACAAATTAGCCAGCCATTAGCCAACACAGAAACTCACTCCAAGTTCCTGAACTCTGCTCTCTGTTTTTCTTGGCTTGTCTGTGCTGGGAGAACCCAACTCTTGGGTCTGTGTGTATGTGTGTGTGTGTGTGTGTGTGTGTGTGTGTGTGTGAGGCACAAAATTGTCAGTAATAATGCTTGCCATACACACCAACACTAAGAGTTTGTAGCTCACCAAAGAACAAGAAAAAAAACTGTCTGGTGTTGTGTAACTTGAAAGACTGCAGCAGTGCTCTTTTATCAGGGGCAAGCGACTGTAGTGCAGCTTGTGTAACCAACTAAATAAGCTCCATCCAACATATAGGGTTGGTGATACATGAGACTGAAGGAGGACATGGCCCATCTACAAACAATACTGAAATAAATGTAGTAGTTATTTCACAGACTTTGGATTAGATAAGCCTGCTTCCTTCTTTTGAGATTGATGTCCAGTCGAACCCTGCCAAAGATTTTCCCTTTTACTGTTTTCTCACTGTCTGAATGAGTCTTACAGTGAGCGGACTGCCCAGTATTTCCAAAAACTATTTAAGCTGCTAAATGTTTGTGGCTGTCCTTTGAAAGCCCTTTTTAACCAAAGTTAAACTGATCTCATACAGTGTGTTGATATCAGGCTCTCCTCAGGACTTAAATGACTCCAACAGCTGTTTTCAAGACATGCACTCGGACATGGTACGGAGCCAGCGTGTGGACGCACAGACAGACGGGGGAGGAGGATATCATGCCATTACAGGAAAGAGATTTGGAGTCTGTCTCGGATCTGTTCTCTCTCTCCCACCCATCGCATACTGAACCCCCCCCCCCCCCCCAGAGGGGTTAAGCACTCTGCTGGTAATGACCATGCTTCAGACAGCACTTTTAAGTCTTGGTGCCTTGCCGCAGCCAACGTGTAATTCGGCCAGAAAAAAAGAAAGAAAGAAAAAAACATGACTCAAGCCAGTGTCTGGGGGAGGGAGTTTTTTTGGAGGAAATTGACAGTGTGTGGTGGAGCTCTGCAGCCCCAAGGCGCACCACAGCCCTGCTTAGGCTCAGACACCCTGCCGTGAAAGGTGCTGAGGTGGATGGGAGAGGATGTGGGGGCCTCAGGCAAGAGAAGATGCTGCAAAAAAAAAAAAAAAAAAAAAAACTATCCATCCCAACAAGTCATACATGTATACTGAGTCTTAAAACTGCATAAAGCAATGTAATGGATCTGCATTGACATCTCTGACAGATTTGTCTTTGACGTTATTGTGAACTGATCAGCTTATTTTCAAGATATTTCTACTGTTAAAAACAGATACAGCCGAGTTAGAAACAGTTCAAATTATGTTTTAAGTAAAAGAACGTTATACTTAATACTACTGTATAACACATTAAGCAGCATCAGAAGGGAAAAATAAAGGTAGCGTCACTCATACTGAGGTTTAGAAAATGTACTCCTAAGAAATTAGTACCAGAGTGTCTTATCCTCTCTTACCCACTCTCACAAATAAAACCATCTTCCCCTAACCCCTACCACCTCCATAAAAAAAGTAAAAGAGAAAAATACTGTTATACGTTTTTTTTTTTGTTTTTTTTTAATTATTATTTGTGTTCGGCCACATGTGGACATGGACAGTCTGCCGGCGCTCCTGTCCTTGGTAGCTCAAACATGCAGCCATGTAATCTGCGTTCCACTGCTTATTGATGGAGTCCACAGCTCTGGAGGGCACGTTGGTGCACCTTCATACCTTACTCCACCGTAGCCGGGAGAATGACTGCCTCGGCTGTTAGCATTGGACGGTCCAGTCTGCTGAGGAAGCAGTAGACGGTAATCTGCTCGGTCACACTCGAGCTCTCCCGCGGGAATGCAGGGATTAAACCCGGCGCAGGATACAGCGTCCACCGAATGCGTGACCGTGCCGGGAATTTCCATGTAATTGTGAACGAAGCACCATGAGCTCTCCTTCTCCTCCCCTCCATTGCGCTATAAATACCATCAAGACTCCCCAAAGGCACCAAGTGCCTGAGAAGAAGGCAGGAAACCAAGACTGAGCCACAAGGACGCAAGACAGGACATATAAGAAATGACATCCTCCTTGTCCTCTTTTCCTCTTGTCCCTCCTTGATTGGTTTCCAGAGTAGTATGAGAAGCATGCAGAGTAGATGCCGTGCATGACGCACTTCTGTGCATATATAGTATGTTACTGATAACATAAGCTAAGGGAGCACATTTTTTTGTCCTAGGCTTTTTTGAATGCCAGGAAGTGATATTTCTTAGCACTTCACCCTAAAGGCAGAGTTTGGGCAATAAAGAAATAAAATATGAGTTGATGCCACCAACTGTGCACAATTCATACTGCCCAAGAAGCCACTGCCATGGCAAAGAACAGACATACAGCTTTGTATTCACTTCAGTGACAGATACTATATCTGACAGGTTGCTGTTAAGGTGGACATAAAAAAACTGATATTATGACTTGCCCTACTATAAATACTTATTGTTTTTGATTATGTAACATGGCCATGTTGCTAATGACTCACATGGAGGCCTCAAGATTTTTTCAAGTTTCTGTGACAGCGAGTGACGAACTGTCACTCCCATGACTTCCATATTTGCCTGTCTCCTAGGTCTGGAAACACTTTTAAATCAACAGCAAGTAATTCATATTTTCAACCCAGCTCTGTGAATATAACACCACATGGAGTCATTGTAGTATATTTTTTTATTAAATCAAACAGACAATTTTCCAGCATTAGCACCGTTAGTATATTTTAATTTGTTGTATATTTGTCATCATATCTATGATAATTTTGTGTTTGACCTTTGCAGTGATCCAATATCTAATGTAATCTGAATGGCACTTTCAAAGCCTAAGAAACCATGAATTTCAGGGTTGAGCTCTCAGTCATTTTAAAAAGTGGGTTAGTGCACTATCTGTCCTTGAAGAAGTGCTCTGGCACACCACCAATCCTTCAGGAAGTGAATCATTCTTGTCAGGATGGAGCAAGTCTCTCATAGGAAAGCTTAGCATTAACCCAGTCCCACAGCTACTCTGTCTTTCCTCTGTCAGTTGAGGCAAACATAGCCCACAACTAGAGCATTTTGAATGATAGTACATCAAGTGATCTCTCAATGCTGCCTGTTGACTTAATGACACCTTTTAAAAACACAAACGTCCTCAGGTAGATTTGGCTCAGCATCTCCCCCGCCTAGGAAAGTAGAGAACAGCCTCATGGAAACTTCCAGACACTCCCTCCCACTTTTTGGGTTGTTTGGCCCGTCCGCTAAAGACGGAAAAAAATGCAGATTGTCCAAATGGGACTGTGTGATATAAACAACTCCCTGGGAGGTGTCCTGGAACCTCAGTCTGTCACAAGGGCCAAAAATCACAAAGTGTCCGCCCAGGCTATTGAGAATGTATGGCAGGCAGCCATGACATGGGGCTCAACAGCTGTCCAAAGAGGGCTGAGAGAGGTCGTTGACTGGGGCCTTGTTCATCTGCAGCAAACCGTCCACCCGAGGCGAGAGGAAGGAGGCTGCAGGGCACCGTTCCCAGGATTTTCCACAGCATTCTAGGCAGTCGCATATGAGTGGGAGAAACATGGAAATGTGTCTCTCACTGGTTGCAAGGTCTCAGATGTATTATATATGCATTTACACAGACAAGCAGATGGACACACACACACACACACACACACACATGTACTGTGCACCATACGTATCCTCCTGTGTTCGTTAGCAGACATCCTTTCATTCCTGAACGCTTCCCTATTATAGCCCCAAAACCCTTGACAGGTGTCAGCCGTACTCAGCTCACCGACTCACCAAAGCCTCCCCAGAAATAATCCGCTTCTTCTTTTCCCATCTCCCACAGTAGATTTCATCACAATTTCTGGACAAATTCAACCGGAGCTGCTGACTTTTATGGGAAAGACTTTTATTTTGATTCAATATAAATCCTATCTTGGGGCTTGGGGGGCATGGGTTTGTCCGCCCCCCCCCCCTATTCTGTCTGTCTGTCTTCCTCTCTTCTCGCCCCCACCCTCTGTTGCTTCCTCCTGCTCTCTCCCTCTGTCGGACTCACAGGCTTATGTCATGTGGAAAGTGTCTTCACCGAAGCAGCTCGAGGACACTGAGAAGCCATTTCCATTTTCGGAGTCGTTTCTTTTTTTTCTTCTTTTTTTTCCCCCCATGTGGAATATTGTCATTCAACTTTCCCTCGTTTGAGCGTGCGGAAAAGCCTTCAGGTTTTAAAGGGACTTGATCCCCTTTTCCAGACATATTCTCAGAGGATTAAGCAGTGAGGCCCAACTAAAGCACCCTTAATCAAATCAAAATAAATAGCCCCCTTCACAATGGAGGATGCCACATTTTCCATTTCTATTTGGCAGGGGATTTGTCCCAGGGAGGGAATATCACAGTGGAAAAGGCCCAGTGCCCGCAGAGGCAATACAATGCGATGTGCTCTGTGTGTGTTTGTGTGGGTGTGTACTGCACTTACATATACAGTAGGTGTGCGTCAGTGTGCCTGATTGTATGTACATGTTGTTTTTGACAGCATGGTGATTCTCTTTCAGCTCTTATTGCAGCTGGTGTTGGAGCCGAGCAGGGGTTTTAGAGCCAAAATGGAGGGGTTTAAGTGTGCCTTAGGAAAGCTTCTGGCATCACGGCCGTGTGGCACTCCAGGGCAGCAAGAAAGCATTTACTGCAGATTAGAGCTCCTCTCAAGTGTTTCACAAAGTCAGCCTTAAGCTTGGCAATTGTTCCCAGGGCCATCCAGCAACCTGCAGCTGTGTAAAATGTCACCAGAACACACCCCTGATAGTTTTTCCTGCATCCACTGGAGGTTGAATAGGTCGTGAATCAGAATTTAGTTCTGCAATTTACATTCCTCATTTCTCATCTGTCACAGGATTATTTTCATGATGGATGAAATAGTTGTATGTGTCACTGTTGTAGGTACAAGAGTATCAGCGGGAAAACACTTGATAAACACTCCATTTCTCTCAAATGAAGTGATTCATAGCACCCAGCTTCGACTACAGTAATTCACAGCAGCCATTTGGTGTCATTCTTGTACGCAATCCATCAAATTCAAGTGGGAACTTAAATGTCTGAAGTGACAACGTCCCATGTTTTACATTTTGAGTGACATTGTATGTGTAATATTTATGTTTTTCAGTGATTTAACCATTTGTCAGCTCATTCACATGTCATATTTTTCCAGGTAACTACCCTCGGCCCTCTAACTACAGCGGGACGGCCAGCACCAGCTACAGCGGCCCCGGCCCCGGCCTGACCAACAGTCTGGGAATGAATGCGAGCAGCCCTATGCACGGCCAGGGCCCCGGCCAGCCCATACCTGTAGGACGTAGCCATGGTCCAGGTAACCAGAACAGGGTGTATCCACCTATGGCTCCCAGCTCCCCCAGCATGCCTCAGCCAGCTGGGCCAGGGATGGGCCCTCCTTCTTTGGGTAGCTCAAACCGCAAGGCCCAGGAGGCAGCAGCAGCTGGCATGCCAGGATCTGCCAACTCAACACACAATAGGTAAGAGCACCACGAGGACTCAGGAGGCCTGATTTCTTTAAGAAATGTTGTATTTTGAAAGATGAACACTTTTTTGTTCTATATCTCCTCATCTCTCTGGGTGTATAGCTGAGTGTGAATGTGTGTACATGAGCATGCACATCATTTTTCATGCACCTAATTGGTATCAACAGTGATCCTGACGAAGAAAGAGGAATGGTGTAAAAACTGTTTTACGGTGCCACTCCAACAGAAATGGCCCAAATTATTTTGTGGGACTGAGAGTCAGTGACTTCACCTGGAAATAGTGGTAGTCTAAAGATTAGGGGGCAGCGAGCTTTTCTTTATTACGTCACTCGCTATCTGGTGAATAACTTTTCTCTGCGGGTCGTCTGTGGGGAGGTGTGCTGAACCACAGAGAGTTTCTGTGCCACAGAGTTTTTTTCTTTTTCTTTTTTTTTTCCGAGAGGCTTTTCAGATGTGAAGGCAAGAGTTCATTCTCAGGGGTTCCACACTTCTATGAGCCATTTGCGGAACTATCCCTATTTTCACACATCTCATAAAGTGCCTGACATTTTGATAGCTGGCACTATACGCCAAGTGCCATTTGTTGCAGAAAGAGAGATATTGGCTTGTGAGAGGACTGTATGGGTTGAATATCGCTCTGTCAAAACATAAAAACAAGAAAACGAAAACCACAGGTTTAACTGTGAAAACACCGGAGACAGAGGTGACACCAAGCACCTTAACACGAATACAAAGCACCTCGATGCTATTATGGTACATGAGTTAAGGGATATTATTTTTCCATTACCGTTGGAGCTTTGTATTTGTGAGTGTTTGTAGTGTTGGAGACCGGGGCTGTTGTGGGATCGTGTGGGCAGTAAACTTCTCATGAACCCTTCCGGGGGGAACTTGTGAAAACATGGCCGTCTTCAGAGAGGAAGGGTGGATTTCTTCGCTTTCTCCAGCCGGTGCGGGTTTTGCCTGACAATGTAGCATGGCCACAGTTTCACCCGCAGTCTGCCCATTTCTGATGATGCGTGAGTCACACTGAAGACTGTGATGATATTTCAGATGAAATTTCTCTTTTTGTCGGGCGGGGTCTGTTGATGCCGATCTGCAGGCGGTCTCCGTATGTAAGGTCCCCAGCACAGATGCAGCCACCCCAACCCACCTCCACCCACTGGCCTTCACCCCACCCTGCCTCCACCCGTCCACCACCTTCACCTCCTCTCAGACCTCACCACCCATCCATCCTGCCACCCTCACATTCACAACACCATAGGTAGGTCCGCCACCCTCGTAACGTGCGCGTGTGTGTGCATGTTGAGCACGTCCTGTATGTAAGTGAATGTGTTTGTGTGTCACATTACAAAACTGATCGTGATATTTCTCACAAGAGTCATCATTGTCATTATAATTGCCATCATCACCTTCGTCAACATCACTGTGGTCATCATTATCATCTTCGGCATGTGTTAGTCACTCTAATGGCAACAACAGCAAGTGAGCACATACAGTCGTACGCATTGTGTCAACATTTGATCATGAAGGGGGGGGGGGGGCTATGGCATGGCTGACAGTATGTGTGATTAATTATGTGCAGCAGGGGGGCCCAGTGCTGTTCACGCAAACACTGGCCGAGGCATTAAGAGATGGCCGGGCTGTCAATAAAAAGTGGCATGACATGATCCTCTCTGCTGGGACCAATCAGATTGCCTGTCAATCTCTCCTCACATTCACCAAGACACCAGAGAGGTGTCACTTGCTGTGGTGAAGGCTCTCTCTCTACAAATCTCTCTCTCTCTCTCTCTCTCTCTCTCTCTCTCTCTCTCTCTCTCTCTCTCTCTCTCTCTTTGTTTACAAATTTGTCTAAACTGTGTGAGTTTATGTCTTCATCTATTTCTCTATCAGTACAGCGATCCATTTTGATTGACTATTGACTGTGAAAGTATCCGTGGTGTTCCTTGTGTTCGTTTGCTGTTTTATCTCCATCTTTGTGATTAAGCAGCCATTAATGTGTTGTTGTTTTTAACTGCCCCGCAAAGATCACATTTCATAAAGACCAAACAGCTTTTTCCTATCGATTTTCTGTTGGAAATCTGTCTTTTCTTTCTGTGTTCAGTTGTTGCTGTGCATGCTAACTTCTAAATTGCCACTGTATTTATTCAAAACAAAGTATGCAGTGAAGGAAAAACCTAGCAGACACTGGATATTCAGAACAACAAAAGACTTTTATAAACTAGCAGGTGTAAAAAAAAAGAAAAAAGTCTGCCAGCTAGGTGAGACTATTTGTTTCCAAAGCAGATAAGTATTCACAAATCTGAATCATTTGTCTTACATCTGCCTTCTTCTTTATTCAGAATAATGATTTCTTCATTGATAATAATGTTTTATTTTAGCAGATAGTGAGGAGTTAGTCCTCTGGCAAGCAGAAAGTCTTTTTTACTCATTTACAACAAAAAACAGAGCCAAAATGTTCAGTTACAATGGACACTTTTGCAGTATACTCCAGTTTCTTTTCTGCTTGTCTCACCCTCACTGTTATTCTTGTCTGCTGTCGCTCATTCTACCTTTTTCATCCCTCCCCGTCTGTTTCTGTTCTCTCTCCTCCCACCTGTTTCACTCTTTTTACCAACTCTCCCAACTGTATCGCCCTCTCAGTCTCTGTGCAGCTCTGTTATCCTACCCAGACTGTTTTATCTCCCTCAGTCTTTCTTCCTCCCAATTTGCTTTTTGTTCTCCGCTGTCTCCAGCACAGCCTTGTTATGTTTTTCTTCCTCAGATCCCACTTTAGAACATCTGAGGAAGATCAGGAGAAAATTGGCCTCCGAAAACCTGCAGTTAAAGGCTCCAGTGCCCCGTTTGCTCTCCAGATCTCAGCACAACATTGTGAAACATTCAGACCTAGTTCCTCTCTGTCTGTGAAACAAGTTGTTAGTCGTAGCACATGTCTAGTTTCGCTCTTTGATGCATCAACCCTGGGTGAACTGCCAGAGACACCCGCTCCCGACCTTCTAAATCAGGGGCTAGTTATACAGCAACTTTGTCATTGGCTGGCCTTGTCTTCTATTCCTCTTTTTCATTAACACGTCCCTTCACTACCTCCCCACCAACAATCCCTCTACATTTCCACTCCTCATCCCCCATATCCATCCTCCCCTGACTCACACACACACACCCTCACACACAAGTAAACACACTCCAGCTTCATTAGCCTGAGTGAAAAGAATGCCGAACGAACAGAGGAGGACCACTTCTGGTATCCCATGGCTGCAGGCGAGGGTCGTGATTAAATCTTCATAAAGTGTGGCGTGAGTGTTTTTTTCCCTAGAGCCCTCTCAGAGTTTCTCTTCCACCAGCTGACTGATATCAGAAACAATTGTCCCACTTATATTGGTTAATCAGTTTGATTGGTGGTTGAAGGGAAACAGTGTTGAGAGTTTGGGGAACGTAGAGAAGAATCCAGTTGCTCGACTAAAAGTTGAAGCAGAAGAATATGGCTTTACCGTCATGCCAACGTCTTGCTCATCATTCATTTGTAATCTAGGAATTTAAGCTTCTGCTGTTGCAGTTACTGCAACTAATTATAAAAAATAAAATAAAATGTAAATGTCACTTGTTCATGCACTGTCAAATAATTTCACAAATAGATGCTGGTCCATCAAAAAATTAGATTCATTTTCTGTAAAAAAAAAAAAAAAACAAAAAAAAAGAATCAGTTTCATGAAAAGTCCTTGAATAGTTGGGGGCACTAGGCAGCCAGTTGTCAGTATGATGAATTGCAGCACAAAAAGTCTGACATGTTATGTTCAAATAACACGGACGATGTCAAACCTGTCAGTGTGGAGGAGTTACAAGTTAGTCCGGAAGAAAGGTGTGGTAGAAATGTTTTTAGCGGCTGGGGATTGATGTTTGGGAATTTTTGGAAAAGAGAAGAGAACAGAAAGTATTAAAAGGTATAAGCTTTTCTTGGCAGCAGCTTCTGAGGACAGAATTGGCTTTGCAAATGACTTTCCAGCGCTGCCGGCGACACTCTACAAGAAGTTCCCGGAGCTATAGGAACGGGCGCTGTCGAAAAAATAAGCACTTAGTACAAGAAGAGCAAAGCTCAGAAAAAAAAAGAGCCGTAAATCAAAGGGAAATTGAAGGGAGAAAAATGTTGGAAGAGGGAAGAAGAGAGGAGAGGAGAGTGCTCCCAGGCAAATCCTCGCCAAATAATTCATTTCTGACCTCCTTAGTAAGTAAATTTGCTAAATAAATAAGAGCAGCGCTTGAATGTCAAGAACGGGGGATGCTGCCTGTGGCGCTTTGTCGCTCGCAGTCTTGGCAGTGCTGCGGAGCGCTCTGCTTTCATTAGATGGGCAAAATAAATGGCTTCTCCTCCATCCATCCTGAGCTGTTTGATGTTTGAGAAGGAGGGGAGGGAGAAGGGAAGAGTAGCTTTTCTCTGGATTTAATATGTTAAAAGCTGTCCTTTTATTTTTTGTGGGGGGCTTATTCTGGTCTCCCCTCTGTCTGTGTATGTGTTTGTGTGTGTGGTGAGTTGAGTCAGGAGTTTGGAGGAGCTATGAGCCCAAGCTGCCCTGAGAACAGATTGGGTCCATATATAATTCATGGCCTCCAGCCGATCCACTCCATCCTTCCATCCAGCAGCCTCTCTCTGGCTCTTTTTCTCTCACTTTCTTCTCCACACTCTTATACACACACACACACACACACACACACACACACACACACACATACGCACACACATACGCACACAAAGCAGAGGGATCGATAGGGAGGGCCGCTCAGCCATCACACACTCCTGCGGTCCCAGCGCTTCTGCTGTCTCGTCCAGTTAGCGGCGCTGGGAGGCATCAGCGCGGCCTGTCACCACGAATGAAGGACAAAGGCGCTGCCACTTCTAGAGAGACACCGTCAGCTGGTTGGCTGGCACCTCGTAACCATGGCATCCCCTTGGCAACAGCGCCCACCCCGCGCATGAACACAAGGACACGCTCAAACACACACATACACACACTCTGCCCACGGTGTGAAAGTGGCCTTCTCCGATGCCCTTCACACGTGTGGACTAAATAGAAAGAGTAGAGCGATGGCTCTGTGTGTGTGTGTGTGTGTGTGTGTGTGTGTGTGTGTGTGTGTGTGTGTGTGTGTGTGTGTGTGTGTGTGTGTGTGTGTGTGTGTGTGCGCAGAATTAGGGGAAAAACAAAGGGGAGTGTGAAGGACAGGTTAGAGGAAAGAGCATTTAGATAGAATGAATAGAAAAACAATAGAATAGAATTGATGCATTTGAAAGGCTTTGCAGCCTTAACGGTGCCTGGACAGGCCAAACAAAAGACTGAATGCAAAGCTGTATTCATATATCTGGACTCTAATGTGGTGTCAAAACTCTCTAACACTAACTTTTCTTAAAAACCCACGAAAACTCAAAGTAGAGTTTCCCTGCACCGTTTCACTCTTTCTCTCCTCAGGCCACACCTAGACAACAAACTGAGAGTGCACTGGCCTGATGGTGTTCAGATAGATGTCTCTTACTGAGAGTGTGTGTGTGTGTGTGTGTGTGTGTGTGTGTGTGTGTGTGTGTGTGAGTGTGTGTGTGTGTTTGAATGTGTGTTCACTCAGCTCAGTCTCATGGAACAGAGATTTCTTCCAGCTCTGGGGCCCTGAGCTGAAAATACGCCCCCCCATCGGTCCACCAGGGACCCATACACACACTACTCAGGCTTCTCAGGCCTTAATTTCCCTCCCTCCTTCTCTCCTTCCCTCCACCTCCTTTCTTCTTTTCCTCCTCTCCCTCTGTTTCCATCTCTGCTTTCTCTCTCTTCCTTCACTCACTCTTCCTCTCTCTCTGCGGCAACAGGATGCTTTTTTTTTCCCCAGCACAAAGGTGCCCGAGAGCAAGATGAATGCGCTGTGCCGTTTTTTTTTTTTTTTTTTTTTTTTTTTTTTCCCCGATAGCGGCACATGCATATATTAAGTGTGATTAAACGCTGTGCGGTGCCTCCATCAAGTGCTTTCTAATGGGCTTTTTTATGACATGAATTAGTCATAATGGGAGAGCACCACAGTCGAAAACCTCCAACCACTGTTGTTGTTGTTGTTGATTTGGATATTTCACTATTCACATGAGAGCTTGTGCTTATATTGCTTAAGGTGGGTGAGGGGTGTTTTTACAGTATGGATAAATGAGCTTCGCAGGCATTTGGCATCTCTAAACTTATTTTTCCTTGCTGGCTTATCAGCACTCTCTTTTGTGGAAATTTGCACACAGAATACATTTTTACTTGCGAGAGAAGGTGCAACGATCAAAAGGTAAATTTATTTCTGTGTCTTGACTCACACAGAGCTTTTTAGGGAACATGTAGGCAGCAAATGAAGGAGTGTATACTTCCCCCATTATAGGGAAACAGGGCCAGATAAGCGTGGATTTGGTGTGAGCTTGTTTCTTTGCCATGGAGCTCCCCTGTGCACCTCGGCCCCCATAGAGGGATTACATATGTATCATCAGCCGTGCTCTATGACTAATTACATCTGTGAGATGAGATTATGGGGAGGTTTACCAAGCCGATCCCTCCTCTTAGGCTATGTGTATCGGTTCCAATATGAGGCATTATACTATGTGTCTGTGTGAGTGTGTGAAAGAGAGAAAGGTGCCAGGTAGTAGGGAATTGACTGACATAAATCCGGATAGTATTTTTTCTTTTCGTTTACATAAAACAGTGTGGCAGTTTGGGCCAAACAGTCCCCTCTTCCTTCCTGTTTCCTTCCATCCTATCTTCTTTACATTCACCCTTACTACTATTTGTCTTCCTCCCGCTCCCCTTCCTGTCTTCTTTTTTAATTTATTGTAGTTTCATCCTGCACTCTCAGTCTTCCACCTCTTATTCTTTCGATCTGTTAGGCCTCTCTGTCTCTCTCTCTCTCTCTCGCCCCCTCTCTCTCTCTCTCTGTTCACCTCACATGTCTTTTCTCTGCATCTGCCTCCCCCCTTTCTCCCAATCTTTTTTATATGGTTGTCCAGGAGATAATCTTGAGTCAGCAGGAGATAGACCAAATTGTTCCAAACATGGTGTTCCCTTTCACCCCCATGTCACTGGCTTCGGCCTGCCTGGCATGCAACGATAGACGCTGCCTGTCATCATGCACTCTCTCTCTCTCTCTCTCTCTCTCTGACACACACACACACCAATGGCTAGCATTCAGCAGGTTGCAGATAAACCCCTCTGATGTCACTTGCAACGCCATCTGATGAGCTGCCTGAGAGAGAGAGAGAGAGAGAGAGGGGAGGCTGAGGGAGGGAGATTGAGCGGGATTGATTTCTGCTGTCACCATGGCAACAAATAACATGATCCTCTCCAAAAGCACACCTTAATTAGTTAAATTATGACTTGTGGGAGAGGGAGAGGGAGGAAGAGGGGGGAAATGGGGGGAGGGGGGATTTGTAGCAGAGAAGGGAGGATAGAAGAGTTTTTCTCTTCTGATGCTGTATGCTCATCTTCAGTCTTTTGGAAGTGCTGTTTGTTTGATCTGGGATATGTTGCTTTTTATTGTGACTTTCAGACGCACACGCTGCTCAGTTTTTACTACAACATAAATAAAGGAGTACGGCAGTGACAAGCTGCCAAATATCATCTCTGTATGATTTTGTGACTTCTGCTCTTCTGCAGCTTTCACTGTTACCCACTTATGTCTCCACAGCCTGCTATTACATTGTGAATCTAAACTTTATATCATCTCTTCCATATCCACTTATTTCTTTCTCCTCTTTCTGTGGTAGGCAGGGCAGCTATCAAGGCCCTGGCATCAGCCAGGCAAGCACCACTGTCCCCTACAGCCAGCCAACAGGCAACAACAGCTCAGCCATCGGTAACGCACAAGGTCCAGCCTACAATATGCCACCGTCAGGTATTCAGCTAATGCCAGCTAGCAGAGGTTTTTTTATGGCCTATAATATGCAAGTGTATATTTCTTGGCAAAGTCACACAGGGGAAGCAGGTATTGACCAGGGTTTCTGTTGTTCTGAAATTCAATATTCAGGATTTCAGGACTTCACATGTCTTATATATGATTTTGTATCTTGAAAAATGACTGAATTATGAAGATAATGTTACTTTTACAAAGTTGCATTAATGTCAGTCTCGCTTTTAAATGTGTTTTTGGAAAAAAATCGTTGTTGATTGCACTAACAATTCAAAACGAAAAAAAGAAAAAATGAAACAAACAAAAAATGAAACCAACATGGAACCAATAACCCCTAATGCAAACTGTGCAGCCCGGTCAGAATCTATCAGAGCACACCTAGCTAGTGTAATGTAATGTGGTGTGTGGACTAATGTGGCACCTTTTATCAAAAAAATAGCTACTTCTAGAAGTAACAAGTTAAATCGTCTCTGTTAACACTACTTTCATCTAATATGGGCAGTGTTTTGTTGCTGCCTGTAGAAAATAACAAATTTGAAGCTCGCTGCACCTTGAGGAAGAAACACTTAAATTAGGAACTTTGAACGGGAAGTCAGAAAAGCATAAAGCCGCAGTAAAAAGCTAACGGCAAATGCACACACATACACACACATTAGTCTTGCGTACACACAATTCTTTTAGTCATGTTCAGTTGAATGTCCATGTTGGATGTGAATAACTTCCTTTATTTTACAAATAATTCTGGTACGCCAGTTTTCCTACATATCCTTTGTACTTTTTTGCCAGTATGGATGTGAAATAGGTCTTGAAATGTGTTCATAATGGTCGAAACAAATATCTTAAAAAGTCTTAAATTCAACTTGTTGAAACCTGCAGAAACCCAATAGCATACAGCAATACAAATGTCAAAATTTAAACCACTCAAAACACATATCTGACAAGGAAGATAAGTTGGGTAAATTATCTCAGTTTGAAGTCAGAGCCAAGCCAATTGATACAAGCTGTCACCTTCCTACAGCCCACCTCCATAAACCGAAGTGTGACCCCATCTGCACTTTCTTATCTTGCAATACATGTACAGAATAATTGCTGATAAAATAGTGAAGAACCTGTTGAATAAGCAGTCACAGACCTTCAGGTTAATGTTAGACAAGACACAGAGCCACTCAAGATTAACCCATATGTTTATGTTAAATGTATAGCAGAACCAACGCAGAATTGTTCCCATTCAGAGACGGAGGCAGAGAGAGAGGACTAGAGGGAGCAAAAGACAGTGAAAGTTCTCACCAATACCAGTTACTTTCTCAGTGCTCTTACTTTGCCTGTAGAGCTGGTGCTCCAGTTAGCAAAGATTGATGTGGTGCATACCTTTTTCTTTCAGCCCTTCACCCTGCTGGATTGTTGCTAAACGCACCTCGGAGAGCACTGTGGATCCCAAAATGAAAGGCACCTTTTATTCAAAACCAAATATCAGAATGCGTGACATTTGGAAAACTTCAAACGAATTAGAGCGCCAAGGTTCCTCCAAACTCATCTGGTTTGCCCCTGGGCACAGTAAAAAGCCATTAGTTTTCTCACTGTGCCGCAGCACACAAGGGAAAAATAAAGAGGAGAGCCTTGTATCCAAGGACCCCTTCTTTCTGTTAATAAGAAATATGCAGCTGGCACTATTAAAAGTACTCTTAAGGATCTCAACTCTTCTTCAATTAGAAACCTCATGAAGGTACACAAACGTCTTTGAAAGCAGAAACAACTCTTCTTGTCAGCCAACATCTCTTGAATACTAACCGTCCCACTCTGACATCGCTTTGAATATGTGAGAAGATGTATGATTTCTCCCAAACTGAGGCTGTGCAGCCAGCAAGGTTAAAAGAGAGCACTTGCTTGCTCTTTGTGGAGTCTTATCTCATTCTCTTTCTATGTCTTCCTTAAGCAGCAGTCTTTTTATACGTTTCTTTCACAGTCTCCCCTTTACAGGCTTTAGAGGATCCTTGAAAACACAGAAACGGAACATAGTATTTCAACTGCAGAAAGACATGAAACCGTTTTACATTGTCTGACTTTGTGTGTGACATTACACAAACCATTATACAGTAGCCTTCAGCACACACAAAGAAGGCACCGTTCATTTTAGGGAGTTAAAAAATGTTGAATTGAAGATAATATAAAAACATGCTGTGTACTAGTGTAAATAATCTTTTTTTACAAAAAGCAGTTGGTTCACTTTAGACAATGTGATTATGGTCAAAGAACAAAACTAACAGCAGAATTTAGCAATTTTTCATTTTGTAAAGTTTGGTACAAATATTTTCCAGTAAATGTTTTCTCATTCTTGGTGAAGGAGCCATGGGAATGTCCGGAGACAGCATGATGAGTCCAGATGGGAAACCCAAAACGGACGTGAAAGATGACACAGGCCCCACCAACGAGCCTCACAAACCAAAGGTACCCCTTTGACCTTTTTCTCCTCCCCATCTTTCTTTGCAGTTCCCTCTCTCCCTCTCATTTTTTTGCTTTTTTTTTTGTTTTGTTTTTTGTTTTTTGATCTAGCTCCCCTAATGAAGCAAACCAAATCTGATCAGCATATGCTGCCTCAGCACAGTGGGCTGTTTCTCTGTTGTTTTCTCGCCATATTTAATGATTTGTTTAACATTTACCATTCCTAATGTTTTCTTCGCTTTGTTTTTGCCCCCAGCACTCTCTTCTTGCTGATGTTTTGGCAGCCCAGAGTTGCAAAAAAGAGAGAGACATAGAGAGAAAGAGGAGGCTTGGCATCCGCAGTACACACATGTTCATACACACATTCAAACACAGCACAGAAATACTGTTTATGATACATAAATATAAAGACAGAAAGCCACACACTGGCCTTTCCACTCACTCACAAACACACACCATCGTTCTCGTAAATACTACTTTCTCAGTGCCTCCTCTCAGTACACACACACACACATACACACACACACGTCCCAATACACAATGCTGACTTCTCATTTTGCCCTACAATTGCAGCTCGGCTTGGCTCAGCTCAGCAACAACAGAACTCTGCTCTTTGCTCTTTTCTACTCCCTCCCCTTGTTTTTGCTTAACAACCGCTCTCCCACACACGCGCACACACACGCGCACACACACACACACACACATACATACACACACATACACACACACACGCCTCCATCACATCCACTACACGTCTTTTCCCTCCAAATCCCTGTCTTTTCTTTTGCTGATTAGGGTAGTAGGGCCTTTTGAATTATTTAAGGCAGTCAGAGCAGCCAGAAAGACCCCCAGTGCTCCCAAAAGAGATGATCTGTCTGCCGAGAGAGAGAGAGAAGAGTGAGAAAGAGGGAGAGATAGAGAAAGAGAGATGGGGGAAAGAGAGAGGGAGGGGAAAGATAAGGTTTTGCTGACATGAGCATTCTGTACACAGACCAGAAGCACTTGTCAAGCTGTTGTTCCTGCTTTCTCTCTTTTACACACGCACACATACACACACACACACACACACACACACACACACACACACACACACACACACACACACACACACACACACACACACACGCACGCACGCATTCACACACACTTATGCACACATGCACTGAAAGACTCTCGTACCTAGACACAAATGTGAGTGATTTACACAAAGTGGAGATTGTATCTAAATTCATGCACCCACGTGTTTCTAGACAAACTATGTAGACTAATACATACTGATCTGCATGAATTTTATTTATTATTATTCAGTTTACACACATACACGAACACATACATTTATTTATGTAGACTCACACACAACACCAGTACTAGTACCACTACTGTTTGTATCCAACTGTGTCTAGAATTTCTTAGTGGTATGCAGTTTCTTTACCTGCACAGAAGTAGGTAAAGAAACACTTCATTGCAAGTACAGTGAATTCCCAGAATTACTAATGTAACTTAAACTTAGTAATATTGCATAAGTATTATCAGTAAAATATACTGAAGTATCAAAACTAAAAGAAGTCATTATGTGGAGTTGCCCTTTATAAATGTGTTGTTATTATTTGTGTCGTTATGTTATTACTGATGCTTTAAGATATAAGCAGGATTTTGGCTAAGCTGGTTTATGCTGTTTGTATATAAATATATATATATGGTATAAAACGTATTTAAATCTAAAACAGAGCACCGTATTTTACAAGCTAGTTCTACAGTTCAGACAAAACATTTATTCTTAAAGTAAAAATGAGTAACTATAGTTGTCGAAATCTTGAAATGGAAATGCTTAAGTGCAGTGGAAGTACTCCAAATTCAGTACAGTACAGTATTCGATGTACTTTCCACCTCTCCGTCCAAACATACACACATAAATGATCTTATGTCCCTGCGCACACATATTGAATCACTTCAGGTTTTGTCTGCTGTTGCTGTCTTTCAGCTATGACCTCAGTATTGTTGTGTGGACAGTGGTAGAACACACCATTGTGTCATACAGATACTGAGGAGGTGGTTGAAAGGACATAGCAGTGATGATTTATCCAAAGGAAATTAAAATCCTTTGCCCTCTTTCTCTCTTTCTCTCTCGTTCCCAGCTACAGGACGGCTACAGCAACAATAACAGTAGCAGTGGCTCCCAGCAGTGTGTGTCCCAGCCAGCCACGCCAGGTGGTGCCCTGCCCGTACCCTCCCCCCTCTCACCCAGCCCAGCCAGCCTGTCCTCCTACCACGGAGACGACAGCGACAGCATCAGCAGCCCCCCTTGGCCTCTCAAGACCCCCTCCAGCCCCGTAAGAACTACACACTCAAGCGCAGTTTGTTGAATGTGAGAATTTCCCGACAAAATCCAGGAATTAAATTAATATTTAGACACAAAGACCAAACCAAGCAACTTATTTCCCTTTACGGGCAATAATGTCAGAAAAAACAGTGATTTTGATTGATTTGTGTGTGACTACAGGGTTATTGTGTAATTACTTCATCAAAATCTGCTTCTTTAGACAACAAAACTCTTTAGAAACCTGGACCAAAGCCAGACGTCGCTGTGTGGGATTAAACTTTGTCCACCAATTTGAACATGAGGGACATAAATGTACAATGAATGAACTTTGAAATAAACACAGACTGCACACTGAGCAAAATGCTCCAAAGAAGTGTTTATTTTTGCTTGGTCATTCAACCAAGGGCCTACTTCAGAATGTGTAAATACGGGATGAAACTTTAATGATCCCCATGGGGAGAGTGGGTTGTTGTAGCAGAAAACAGCAATAGGATACAGCAAAGAAAGATTAACTGTAAAATAGACTATATATTTTAGAATATATAGAAGACACTTTCTATTAATGCATCTGATGTAAACTTATGTAAATGATATGTCCTCTCATGTAAAGTATAAGATATGAATGAAAAGTGTAGAAAAGAACTTCATTGTTGTGCTTAAATCAGGTACACTACCAAATATAGTCTGTCTTTTATTATTATGAAAAAAAAAAGGTTGATGTTAACATTTATATATTATATAAAATGTCACATTTATACACATTTATATGAATAAAAATAAAACATACATTATATAAATAAATAAATAAAGTCTATAGTAACCCAGTTTTTCTCCCGTTCTTATTTTCTCTCTCTCTCCCTTGCTAGAAAGCCAACCCTAACCCCTCCTCCCTCAGCGGGGAGCGAATCACACGCCTTTATGAGCTTGGTGTGGAGCCGGAGCGGCGGGGCTGGGTGGAACGATACCTGAACTTCATGGAGGAGAGGGGCACGCCTGTTGCCCAACTGCCCGCTGTGGGCAAAAAGCCACTGGATCTCTGGAAGCTCTATATGGCTGTTCGGGAGATCGGAGGCCTCGCCATGGTAATGTATAGGGAACATTATGATGGGACAATGTTGGAGTTAACACGCACGTAATAACATTTAAAAGAGTATTTGGGGAGAATATAACCTCACATACAGTGAAGTCATTTCATACTAATCATGTGCATTGGCTATTTAGCATTCTTCAGCAACGTGCACTCCAGCAGCATGGCATCTGGTGTGCTTGTAAATGTTGAGAAATGCGCTCAAGAGAATGAGATACACAAAATAAATCTTTGAGACATTATAGTATATTCCTGAAAATCTCACTAGAGATGCAAGTTCTGGGCAGAATCCTTGTGTGTCAAAACCTATGTGATAAAAAAAAAAAAAAAAAAGAAAAAAGAAAAAGGAAAAGCACATACAAAACATATGAAGCTTTACGTGCTAGCATTAGCACGGTTACAGACAGCCAAGAGAAAACAGGAGATAACATACACACATGCCCACAAGTATGTGGACGTTAAAACATTACATATTATATTCCCAAAACCACAGGCATAAATCTGCCGCTATGATAGCCTCCACTCTTCTGGAGAGGCTGCAGTTTGCACCCGCTCTGCCGTGAGAGCATCTGTGAGATCAGACACTGACGTTGGGCAGTAAGGCCTGGCTCACAGGTGGCGCTCCAGTTTGTCCCAAAGGTGTTTGATGGGGTTGAGGTCAGGTCTCTGTGCAGGCCACTCATGTTCTTTCACTCCAAAATCTGGAAAATCATTTCATTATGCCCGAGGTCACTGTTATGTTGAAACTGGAAATGACCTTCCCCAAGCTGTTGCTGTAAAGTTGGAAGTGCATTGTCTAAAATATTATTATTGTATGTGGTAGGATTAGGATGTCCCCTGATTGGAACTGAGGGACGTAGCCCAAACACTTCAAAACAGGCCAAGATTAAAAGTATGGCATCAGTGGTGTCCCCATATTTTTGGCCATATACTGTAGTGCTCTTTTGCTGTTAGATTAAAAACAGCAATGTGGAAATTATGTGCAGTACTCAGGAGTGACCTACAACTCTGTGGTTATAGTAAGTATAAAAACAGTGAGTGCTCAGGCACGGAATTGATTATTTCTGATTAAATTCAGCAGGCTGTGGTCTACCATAGTCCAGGCAAAATGACAAGCATGTGGCTGATTCTACTGGGATACATAACTGTATATAGGGAGGATGTGAGCAAAAATAAATTACTCTGCACCCCACAATCTCATTGAGGTCAGTGCCAGTCATTTAACTTCTTAATGTCTTGTCGTTGTCTCATCCCTCAACCACTCAGGTGAACAAGAACAAGAAGTGGCGTGAGCTGTCCACCACCCTGAACGTTGGCACGTCAAGCAGCTCCGCCAGCTCCCTCAAGAAGCAGTACATCCAGTATCTGTTTGCCTATGAGTGTAAGATGGAGAGAGGAGAAGAGCCGCCGGCAGACAGCAGCAGCAGCAGCAGCAGCAGCAGCATGGCTGGAGGGGACAACAGAAAGCAGGTCAAGATCCAGCCGCCCTCACCTGGTAAGGCCTGATAACAGACCGCTTCTCTGGGTTTTTCACAACCCCACTCTCCCATCTGTCAGCAGCCAAACAACAGGTGCTGCTGATCAAACTACAGGTGTCAGGAAGCATCAGAGAAACAGTGATCTGCATTCATGACAATGTGGCACACAACAGCACCGCAATAAAGGCTTTGCAGCTATGTCAAACGCCTTCCTGTCAGCATAGCTGCTACTCACGCATCTTGGAGGGATGGGAACTGCCAGAAAAGCTGTTTATTATAATTGTAGCAAACGCAGATTTATAGAAAATATTGATTACTGCGTGTAAAATTGTTCCCTGGTGTGGATTGTGGTATTGGCCAAAGTTTAAAAAAAAAAAAAAAGTCTGCTCATTTGACCTAAACAAATGGTTGCAGTTCATTTTGTAGCTAATTAGCTTTCAGGTTAATTTACCAATGAAACAAAAGGTAATGTCATTAGTCTGAGCAATGTTATGTTAGGTGCTGTGCATATTATCTTAAAAATGATCAGCTTATCTTAAAATGATCAACAGCCGCTCATATCATAAATTAACCATGTCAACCTCATTTACAGCCACCCGAGAGTATGTAGAGCACTAACAGGCCTCCACTTCAAATATGAGAAGAGAGGGGGTATCATGAGAGTTCACTTTATTATTGTTGTTGTGTTTGTTTGGTTCCGAATGTCTTACATCCTTATTTGTGAAGAATGTGTTTAAGAAATGCAAATACAAAAAGTGAAAAACTCTACTATATATATACAGTATATATATATATTAGTTGACAGTTAAAGGGTCAGGTAGTTTTTACCCATGTAGGTTTTACCTGCGCAGGTTTTAAGATATCCATCTGTGAGATATTCCCCCAATACAATGCACTAGAATGGTGATTTTGTTTGTGGCGCTCTCAGCACTGAACACGACTAACAAAATCTACATGGCAGATACCACTAGGGTACTTTTTTTTTGTAATTCGGCTGAATTGTCTCTTGAACATCTTAAAGTACTGTGGCCAGGCAGTAAGTATTGTATTCATTATTAAAAATAGCAAAGGGGGACTCTGTGTGATTACATGAATACAACTCAAAGCCCTTAGAGATGAGCGAGCATTAACGCTGTTTTGATGAGATGATTCTCAGTTTAATGAAGGTGAGCTACGATACGATCACTACTTGTACCTCAAACCCAGGACTCGCCTTTATTTGATTACAGTGCTTTAGAGGTTAAGTAATATTGTTTTGGTGCAGCACCATAACACAAAGGGTGCTTTTTGTTTGTGTATATTACCTGTTCACACTGTGCGTCTGTGTGCACAATTATGATGTGAGGATCAGGAGAGGAGAGAGAAAGAGTTGGAGCGATATAGAGCAGTAAGGTCACGTCTCTAATTTGCAGCGGAGATGAGAAAAGTGACCCTGGCTTTTAAATAGAACATCGGAGCACTTCACCTGCCTGAGACACTGCAGATTGCTTTTCCTGGTGGGTGGAAAAGAGCATCTGCCTCCATTTGCATACACACACACACACACACACACACACACACACACACACACACACACATGCACACACATGCACATACATATACATACAGTACACATGAGCAACACAGACACACAAACACGTATATATATAAACACAAATGGTCCTTCTCACTCATAACACTTTATAATTCATAATTCAGTCCCCTCTCGTCTGTTCAAGGGGATCTAAACACCTCAATTTCACAGAATCTCATTTTCCCAACATCAGCTGATGGAACCGTGGTACACACAATCAGAGACATTGTGAAACATGAAAATGTTAATACTTGTGATGTTTGGGCTGCTTTCTGGATGTGCAGCTCCTCAACTTTAAACTGCTCATGCTGCAACACTTGATTGAAGTAATATCTCCTGCATATTTTTGGTATCATCTGCGTTTGTAAGAATAGGTGGTGGAACCCCTACAGCACTGTAATACTAAAGCCGTGTTTTCTCTACAAGGCTTTGCCGTTTTAAAGGGAAATTCCAGTTACAATTTGGGTCTTAGTTTCAGATTTTGGTCATTATTCTTAACATTGTACTCACTGAGTTAACTGCTTAGATCTCTGAAAACAGCAACATCACCAACAGGAAACAGGAGCATTCAGACAATCATACAGGATTTTAATAAACCCTCAGGTTAGCTGAACGTCTTTGAAAGAGAAAACAAAGACTTACACTGAAACTATTCCCCAAACTACCCCAAACAGTGTAAGACTCAGTCATGACCTGTGCAATGAGGGATTATTGCTATGGCTGAATCAATCAAAAGATTCTGTCTGGTTGGCAAATGCCATTTTTCCAACTCAATTCTAAAATATTGCCACATAATCTAATGAGTATGAAACTTTATTAAAATTCCATTTCATGATTAATTATTCACAGTTTTGTTTTTGAAATCAAACTTCATTATGGTGAAAAAATCCCAGGCATCCCAGGAAAAGAATGATATATTCGAGGGAGGTAAGATTTTTTAACCCTAATTATTGCCAACATGTCAGGTGCACTCACTTAAGGTTTTCCCTTCAAGTAAAGTGGTTTACATAATGTGACTGCTGGCAGCTTCTTCAAAATTAGTCTGACTGTCTGACTTAAATTAAATATACACACAATTTTAATCTTAAAAAATGATGTGACATTTACTTGTTTCTAATATTGATAAACTTGCTTTGAAAACTTTATTGAGATGCGTCATTAAATACATCAGTGTCATTGAAATGATTTACTAAATATTATTATTTATCATTAGTATTATTTATTAAATGAATACACACTTAAGTAATATATAGTAAGAAAGATTTTAAGACTACACATACAGTGTTACTTGAAGGATGGACACTTTTATGGAGACGTTCAATTGACATAAACTCAGAAGTCAACGCACAGACTGACAGACTTTGCTTTGTTACTGTACTTACACACACCAGTTCTAAAACTTTGCCTGTTTCTGGTAAATTCAGTCATGAAAAACCTCAATACCACAGGTTCAAAAGCTAGAGAATAGAATCCCTCCCATTTCCTTTGCATACCTCTGTCTTGATCTGCTATCTGTGCTTCCTTGCTACAAAGTGCAAACTGCCCCACTGACACCCTGCCAGCCTATATATAGACTGACAGACCAATGATGTCACTGAGGGAGCTTGTCCAGCGGGCTGGTGGGGGTGGTGGGGTGGGGAGTGTGTATGTATGTGCGTGTGTGTGTGTGTGTGTAGTGGTGGTGGTGGTGGTGGTGGTGGTGTGGGGAGTGATTAATGAGAACTGGAATGTAGAACGTAAACAAACTCGACCTCGCCGTCACCTTTCATTCAGAAAACTGGTTCAGCTGACTGACTTTTCTTTTTTTTTTTCCCCCCTCCTCCCTTAACCGCTACCACCCATCTGGATTATGTCACCCGCTGACACACACACATACACAGGCTCTCTCGCGCGCGCACACACATCAAACGTCAGCCACATGCCTCTTGCACAAGCACTTTTTTTCCCCTCACCGCCTCCTCTGTCATTCTTTTCTCTGTCTGAATGTGGAACAGAGGGCACTTAAGTTCACGCTCTCCTCCACCTCCCCTCCATCTTCATACCCCCACCCTCTCCATATTATGTATCTGTCTGTCTGCCCTCCTGCTCTTGAGGAATTGTGAACCTCTTAACCCCGGCTAACCCCACCGTTGTTTGCACTTCTCCACGTGTGCATGTGTGTGTGTTTGTGCATTCATATTTGTCTGAAGTGGGGATGTCCCGGGAAGTAATGCTCCCTGCCCCTACTTTGCCCTCTCTCCTATCTCTCCTCATCATCATGGGATAACCATCTCTCCCTGTCTCTCTCTCCGTCTTTCTCTCTCTCCATCTCCAATGATGTAGAGGCAGGGGGTATCATTGAATAATTCAGAATTAGCATGAATTTTTAAAGCTTAAGTCTTTCTTTTTCTTTTTTTCCTGTGGAAACGTGCTGTGCAGGGAAAGGCCACTGAGGCTGTTCCAGAGAAAGCCTTCTTAGCTAAATGCTCATTAGGATACTTTCATATTCTCTCTTTCTTCGTCTTTGTCATATTTTAGCCGGAACGGTCCACATTTTCCATTAAACCTGCTTCTGGGAATTTGTATCCCTTGGTTTTATCTGGCTGGGGGTTCTTTGTGTGGTGGGCTCTTGTAACTCTGCACTCCTATAATTTTCTAGTCATCTGAACTGAGAAATTCACTGGTGTCATAACAAGAGAGCACACTAACCCAATTTTAACCTCAGTTTGGAGTCTCTGTTTGTGGGGAAGTATTTTGACCAAGAGGAGGTCATCAGCACAAGCTTTCTTAAGGTCCTCACTCATATTTAGAGGATGTGTGCTAAGGTATTAGCTAGCACATAATTTGATTTTACCCTAATGGTAGATATATACATTGTATTTTCTTAAAATACATCTTTGCCCCCGAGCTCAGCCCTCCATATGAACCCCTCATCAGCTCGATTATGAGTCAAGTTCCTAAAAAAAAAGTCAGCTAAACAATCTTCAAACAGCTTCCAAATAAAGAGCTGTGCTGCGACCCAATGGGCAATTCCCTCTGAGAAATCCTTCCCCTCTCTTCACCATGCCCCCCCCCCTCCCCCTTCCTCCTCTGGCCCCTCTTTAGCAGTCCCTCCGTTCCCATCTTCTCAGCCCTCATGTAGGCTGTTTGGACGGCCTCACTTCTCGTGTAGGGCATCACTGTTAGTGCTTTGGCCTGAAGTCCAAAGTTATCTCCCTAATACAGCACCTTGCTGCAGCGAAAGCCCACTATGGCCGCTGTAACTCAAACCAGCTCCGAGATCATATCTGAAGGCATGGGGGAGCCCTGCGGTCTGAATGTGTTACAGTTTTTGCCGTGAATTTTCATGAATCATTTAGCTTTAAGAATAATAAGGCTACTTCTGTCTCCCAGCTAATTCAGGCGGCTCCCTCCAAGGCCCACAGACGCCCCAGTCCTCTGGCAGCAGCTCTACAGCAGAGGCAGCAGGGGATCTGAAACCCCCCACACCTGCTACCACCCCTCTGGGACAGGTCACTCCACTGCCCCCTAACAGGTACCACACATACATACCGTAATACCACTACAGTACTCCTGCTACTACTAATGATCCTGTTACTGCCTATACAGCACTAGTAGTAGTTCCTAATTTAGTATAATTAATATACTTGATTTTTGTAGTTACAGTGTGATATTCATTTCCATCAGCACTAATTGTTCCTTATTTATAAACAAGCATTGTCTGTTAATGTATGGTATGAACCTTAATTATGAATATGGATTCATATAAAACAACTACAATGTAGTAAAGCAGGATTTAAGTGAAAGGAAAAGATCTCCATGTGCACAGTTATCTTCAGATACATAACCAATTATCCAAACAGTTAGATGCAATAGTTTCCCTGAAGAGGAAAAGCTTTGTTTGTTAGGCTATTTAGGTGAGACTGAAAACAAAGACTGTATTACATTTTCTTGCTCTTTACATGATGATTAAAGTCTTTTACTTTTTAGTAAAACGTCCTTCATCTCTGCTGATTTCTTGTCGGATGATTATAGAACATGACAGTTGTGTTTGCAGAGCCCAGGAGAGGAAGCAAAGTTCTTTGTTTTCTGTGTTTGTGATATTATGTGTGAGAAGTCTTTAATATGTACATGACACAAATGAATTAAACAATAAAAACACAGTGGTGGAAAGTAACGTACTTAAATACAATTTTGAGGTACTTGTACTTTACTTTATTTGTATTTCCTGCTACGTTATACTTATATGCCACTACTTTTTAGATCCAAATATTGTACTTTTCCCCCACTACATTTATTTGGCAGCTATAGTTACCGGTCGCTTTGAATACCAAGGTTTTGCATACAAACTATATCTATTTAACAGTTTATAAAATCATTAAAATTAGCTTTACTTTAACTAGCTATAATGTAAAATCTGCATAAAGGCCTACAGTAATGAATCTACTATAATATTCCAATGATATAATATTACAATTGACAGGGGTCATTTTATTACTTTTACCTTTAATACTTCAAGTACATTTTGATGCTAATAATTCTGTCCTTTTAATGAAGGAAATTTTCAGTGCAACACTGACAACAAACAACTGCAATGACAAGTACTAGTACATGTGCTACTACCTATGATATAACAACAGGTACCCTTATATATGAAATCTGATGTATTTCATATTCAAATTAAATATTCATCTTAAAATGAAAAAATGAAATCATCGTTTCAAAAATAAAAGCATTGCATGTAAAATAAAACTCCTTCAGAGCATATTGTTTCAACATTTTCAGTGTCCAATCACTGATCTGCACCTTTCTCTCCACCCTCTCCTCCCTTCCCTCCTCACCTTGTCCAGGAGTAGTGTGAGCATACAGGACCCCTTCTCGGAGGTGAGTGACCCGGCCTTCCAGAAGCGTGCCACCTCCCTGCCCCCCTCAGCTCCTTACCAGCAGGGCCTCAGCATGCCTGACATGATGATGAGGATGCAGTACGACGCCAAGGACCCCTTCGCCGGGATGAGGAAGAGTGAGTGAGACACACGCTGTGACACCCTTTCACCCAAACACCGAGGCCTGGACCTGTTTCCCCCAATTTCACAGAATATTTTTTGATTTATGTGAATAAGATTTTGTTTTGCTGTTATAAAAAAAAAAGAAAAAAAAAAGAAAATCCATTTCAATCAACTGTTTTATATTTTCAGATAAACTTGCACATAGGTTATAGACAGTGACATTGAAATTTGAAACTTCATCTTTAAACTTTATATGAAGTTAGGTGGCTCTGTCAAAATGACTCATGTATCCCAGAGCCATTGTTCTGTCGTCTGTCTTGTTGGTCTAATTCATTGTCTAGTCACCATGTCGTCTCAGATCAGGACAGATGTGTGTGTTTTTTTTTGTGTGTGTGTGTGTGTGTGTGTGTTCTACTACGAGAACTATGAAAGGAGATGAGAACTGTTTGTTACACCACACATCGCTCTATCGAAAACACACCAGCTCGTCTGATGTTCGTGTAGCTTAGCCTTCGTCTCATCCTAACTTTGTTCATCCTTTTCATCCTCCTCGTTTTCAACCTTTCATCCTTTCCACCCCGCTGAGAAGCACCTGTTTTGACCAACTCATGCGGTTTAGTTTTCAGAACAAACAGTAGTTTTAGAAAGGATGGCGGCTCCTCTGAAGGCTGAGGAGAATGGAGTCTGAATGAATAATATGGTGGATGTTAGCTGCATAACAACAGTCACAGCCTCAGAACAATAGGTTTAATCATGACACGTGGTGAATATTCATAGAGGAATGCTGCCACCTGCTGGTTGGGGGAAGACATGGTTCATGCAATTAAGAGATCAAGTTTCAGAACAAGGTTAAGCCAGAACTGTCATAGTTAGACTAATTTAATAGCTTCTTAACACCTGTTAAAATACACATTTTATCACTCATTTAGTTCATGTTGTTGATATTTTTAGTTGCACTGACTTCCTTTGCCTTCTTCCTTGGCAGTGGCAGGAGCTGATCCCTACATGCCGGGCCAGATGCCTGGTGGTGGTATGCAAGACATGTATGGTCGACCCCCATCTGCCCTGAGCATGAGCCAAAGGTCACAGTATCCGTACGGGCCAGGCTATGACAGGAGGTAGGCTCACAAGCCACCAGGAGAGGCTGGTGAACCTGTAGTAACCTCTTTCTGCTCTGACGTCATTCTAACATGAGCCCTGAGGCCAACTGCAGTGTTTTTATTTAATGTAACAAAAAATGTGTTTATAACAGAAGTTATGTCAGTGATGTATTGTCAGTAGCCTGAGAGGACTTCCCTGTTGTTTGATCCTCAGACCAGACCATGTGATGGGGATGGAGGGGAGCATGGGTCCCCCTGGGAGTCAGAACAACCTGGGGCCCTCCAACAGTGAAGGCAGCATGTACTCTCCCAGCAGATACCCTTCACAGCAGAGGTGTGTGTGTGTGTGTGTGTGTGTGTGTGTGTGTGTGTGTGTGTCTGTGTCTGTGTCTGTGTCTGTGTGTGTGTGTGTGTGTGTGTTTGCAGAATCCATTTATGTAGAGAGCCAGAGAAAAAAACTTTAGCTATACGTCCTTATGTCTATAGCGTTCCTGAGGTTTTTTTTAAATCAGTGAGTGATATATTTCTCCTCCCTCCTCTCTTTTATATCAGACATGATGGCTACGGTCAGCAGTATCCCGGCATGCCATATGGGATGCATCCTTCTGGGATGTACCCTCAACAGCAGGTGAGAGACAGCTCTGTATGTACAAAGCACTGTTTATCTCTAACTGTAAAATGGAAATACAGTAGCTTTACGTCCTGAGGTTAGGACAGTTTTGAAAAAAATGTCACCGTTCATATTACAGATAAAGTATGAATAAATGATTAGGTAAAATACAAATGATCAGGTAAAATACTGAGTAATATATTTCTCATAATAGGGCATTTTAGCCCAATTATGTAAAAGGGATCAATACTCTCTTTACTTTATTACTTGTTTGCCACTTCATTATGATAGAAATACATTTTTTATCCTTTCCTTTAAGCACAGTAATCTTTAATTTACTTGGTTTGATCAGACCACATTTTCATGAATAAGCCTAATCAATGTCAATTGACCATTGAGTGAGTGTCTAGTGTGTGAGTAAGAATCTAACCAACTGTGGAGTGGAGTTGTTAGCTTTTCTTAGTATCTTGGTTAAACATAGTTCTTATTAAACTGACTGTTCTAATACAGCATTACTAACAATCTGAACTGAATAAACACCATATCATAATCACAACCGTACCTGGGGTGATGAAAGTCCGCCGCAGATGTTGTATCTCTGCCTCTCGCTGTTCTAAGTGCACAGTGGAAGACGTTGTCAGTTTTGGGCCTCACACAGTGGTTCCACCTCCTGATGAGTTGCTGCTGGTGTTTTCACCTCAGTTAGTCTCAGTTCAGTCAAATTAAGTTCAAAGCACAGATTACCAACATAAACATTAAAATTTGAAAAACACAAGATGTACAATATAAACAGAGGTAAACAGTGAGATAAAAAAGATTCTGGCAAACAGGTTGAGTTTGTGCAACTGGGATAAAAGAATTCCTGAAAACACATTTTTGTCCCTGCAGTGGTACCAGGAGGGGGGTTAAGACATTTGTAGTATTTCAGTTTCTATTATTTATTATTACTGCCTCAGAATGTCTGACAACTGGATCTGTTTGAAAAATTTAAAATAAATATAATCCGGTTCCCAAAACACTTTTTTGTAGATTTATTTTTAGTTATAGCAGTCATTTCATTATATTTACTAATTACTCTTTGTTATAATATTCACCCTAATATTGTCTCTTCATTTTAATCCCACTAACTTTTTGGTACACCTTTGCATATTGCATATAACACTGCTAAAGCAATACAAATCAAATGATGAGAACAAAGCTAACATGTCTGTGAGAGTAAAATTACTAACAAAAAACACCACTGTCTATCTACATCTTTGCTTCAGCAGGGCTACAAACGGCCCATGGACGGTATGTATGGCCCCCCACCCAAGAGACACGAGAGTGACATGTATGCCATGCAGTACGCCAACCAGCAGCCGGAAATGTACAACCACTACGGTGGTGGGTACTCAGGCCCTGAACACAGAGCCATACAGGGACAGTTCCCCTACCCCTACCCCCGCGACCGTATGGCCCCCTCAGGACAGAGCCAGCACAGTATGATGGGTGGGGGGCCCACTCCTAACCACGCTGCCGATGGGCCCAACATGTGGCCATCCAGGACAGACCTCGGCTATCCTTACCCCAACCGACAGGGACCGCCGTCTCAAATGCCGCCTTACGGCTCAATTGGTAGAGATGACATGGACGGGCGGCCCGGGCAGGAGCAGTGGCACCGTCAGTCCCCCTACATGTCATCATCAGCCGGCATGCCTCCCCTATCTTCACGCCAGCCATCGTCTTTTTCCAACTCCCCATCCATGGCCAACCACCTGCCCAGAGCACCCAGCCCAGGGGCCTTCCAGCGCTCCCTGGACTCTCGGATGTCACCCAGCAAAGTACCGTTCATGTCACCCATGAAGATGCCTAAGCCTGGGATGGCCATGATGGGCTCACAGATCAGTGGACCCATGGGTCAGTTTCCTCCCAACCTGAGGAGGGACCTCAACTACCCGCCAGGATCAGTGGAGGCCACCATGTCCATCCTCAAGCCTCGACGCAAACTTACCTCCAAGGACACTGGTGAGCGGGGGGTTCCCTTAATTTCATGAGTCAACATTTTGAGTAGGACTATGAGTGAGGTGCTAGTTGTGCATTCAACTTGAAAAATTGTGGATTTACAGTATAAAGCTAATTTTCAGGTAGAATTAGCACAACATGAGGTACATTTTATGACAGAAGTTAAAATGATCTACTCTGTTCACTGTCTCTTTTATCATTTGTACAAAGTCTGATCACCACTTTTTTTTTCTTCCTCGTTCCAAAAAAATCCCACTGTTTTAATCCCAGGAACGCCTGAGGCCTGGCGCGTCATGATGTCTCTGAAGTCTGGCCTGCTGGCAGAGAGCACATGGGCTCTAGACACCATCAACATCCTCCTGTACGATGACAGCACTGTGGCCTCCTTTAACCTCTCCCAGGTAAAAGGAATTTGATGACTGCACCTCATTGCTGACTGACAGAAGAGATTCATTTATCTCAACAGGGCATGCTGTGACAGTGTGATGTGCAGTCAACCTTTTCTGTTAAACTGAGGATCTATAAAATTTTGTGAGGGGAAAATATTCAGAATACCATTATTCCGTTCTTTATTCGCATAGTCCAGAGGATTCAGGATATTATTACTACTACTACTGAGTTAGCATGAAAAATTCTCTCCATAGATTGTTAATCTTGGTTTTCCATTCACCAGACGGGATTACTTGTCAACATGTGTCTGGTTTCCTTTTTCTTTAATTGTTGACAATGATTATATCTTTGTCTTTGTCTGACCAGTTGCCTGGATTCCTCGAGCTCATCGTCGAGTACTTCCGCCGCTGTCTGATCGAGATCTTTGGCATCTTGGAGGAGTTTGAGGTGGGGACTGTGGCTCATAAAAGCCTTTTGGATCCTCCTTCTAAACAGAAAGAAGAATCCATCCCTGACCAGGAAACTGATTCGACTGTCCAACCTGAATCAGAGTCAGCCCCCGCAGCAGCAGAGCTGCAAGAGGAGCAAGCAGGAGCCGTCGTGGAGGAAGCTCCACCCGTCGCTGCTGCGCCAGAGTCAGCAGTGGTGAATGGTGAAAAGGAGGAGTCTGAGACGAGTGGAAAGAAGGAGGACAAGAATAAAGAAGATGGAGAGAAAGAGGAGAAGGAAGAAAAGAGTGAAGATGGAGCAGAGAGTAAAAAGGAGTCTATGGACCAACCTGTTGCAGAACTAGAGCCTAAACCTCAACAAGCCAGCAAATACGATAAGCTCCCAATCAAGATCATCCACAAAGAGGACCTGATTGAAGACATGACAGAGCACTTAGGTTACGTCACCGAGTTCACCAGTGGGCTGCTACACTGGCAGGCCGGTGGAGGCGACTCCACCGCACACATTCAGACACACTTTGAACCACGTACTGCGCCACCTGCCAGGGCGGATGAGAAGATCGGAAAGGAGAACAAACAGGAAAACAAGATGGAGGTGGAAAAGAAACAACCTCTGAAACATATCACCGCTACTATAGATGATGTTTTGTGTGCTCGGGTTGACGCCCTCTCTTACGCTCACCCAGCACGCTCCTTGCCATCCTACCCATTCAGGGTGCATTCAGATGGGGAGCAGGACCACATCACCTTGCTGGAGGATGAGCCCCGCTGCCTGGATGAGGCTCCGCTCTCCACAACATCCTCCTGGCAGGACTCGCTGTCCAAGCGGTGCCTCTGTGTCTCCAACATCGTCCGGAGCCTGTCTTTCATCCCGGGGAACGACTTGGATATGTCACGCCACCCTGCTCTGGTTCTTCTTTTGGGCAGGCTGCTCCTGCTGCACCACCAGCACCCGGAGAGGAACAGGTCGCCCCCTAGCTACCAGAGAGACGAACAGCAGGAGCAGGGGCTGTCGAGTAGCAAAGAGGAGTGGTGGTGGGAGTGTCTGAGTCTGCTCAGGGAGAATGCCATGGTCACACTGGCCAACATCTCTGGCCAGCTGGATCTCTCCAACTATTCAGACACTATCTGCCTCCCCATCCTGGATGGCCTTCTCCACTGGATGGTGTGCCCTTCAGCTGAGGCCCAGGACCCCTTCCCGTCAGCAGCACCCCACTCCCAGCTCACTCCTCAAAGGCTGGTGCTGGAGTGCCTCTGCAAGCTGAGCATCCAAGAAGGCAACGTGGACCTCCTGCTAGCTACGCCTCCTTTCAGCCGACAGGAGAAACTCTTCACTGTCCTGGTCCGTTACGTGGGTCAGAGGAAGGCCCAGGTGTACAGGGAGATGGCAGTGGCTGTCCTCTCCCACCTGGCGCAAGGAGACCCCACAGCGGCACGTGCCATTGCCATGCAGAAGGGCAGCGTGGGTAATTTGGTAGGTTTCTTGGAGGACGGTGTTAGCATGGCGCAGTACCAGCAGAACCCTCACAGCTTACTGCACATGGGGCATCCCCCTATGGACCCACCGAGCATAAACATGATGTGCAGAGCAGCTAAAGGCCTGCTGGCCATGGCTAAAGTGGAGGAGAACAAGACAGAGTTTGTGCTGTACGAAAGCAGATTATTAGACATCTCCATTTCTTCGGTGCTCAGCGCGGGAGTGGTGGCTATTATTTGCCAAGTTCTCTTTCACTTAGGGAAATTATGACAGGAGGAGAGGCAGGACTTACACAGCAGACCCTAAGGTGGACAAGATATTTCTGTGGTTTTCTATTTTTATTTATCAAAATTACAGAAAATGTTTGTTTTTTTAAAAGAAGTATCCACATAAACAAAATATCTATATATGTATAGCTTCTGGGCCCTGTTAAAAAAGTGGGTTTGGGATTTGAAAGCTCATTTTAATACAAATATTTAATACCTGCTGGTGTTGGATTGCTATGTTTAATATTTTGTTTGGCATTTGTTTTTGTTTGTTTACTTTTTCAGCCAAAGCTGCCACCAGATTTTGGTGCTGAATTACATGGTTCCTTTTGAGTCGATGAGTTGTTGAGATGTTTTTCAGTTTTATAAATGCTAATATACTCATCAACATTTTGTTAATGGAGAGTATTTATTTAAAATGTGACACTGTACAGTAGTTTGAACTTTTTTGCCAACAGTTGTGGGGGAAAAAAACACTGACTTTTTAAATTGAAATGTATATGTCTCCATCGCTGGAAGATAAATTGTGCAATAGGACTAGAGCAAGTTGTCCGTTTTGAGAACAAGAAGAAAATGTAACTCTTTAAAGACACCTGCAGTGTGTGCTTTAGGCCATGAGGAGGCAGCATTGCACCAGCCAATCAACATGAGAGAAGCGCATCTGTCAAAAAAAGTGTCTAATTTATCAATCATAGCCTCAACGACTTTCACAGATGAACTTTGTGTTTCCTAAGCACTTGTGTTATGTCTGTATTTTTTCATCACTGTGTATATAAACCGTTGTACAATGGACGCACATGATTCTTTCAGTCTCTATCAAGCATAGCAAGAGATGGGACTTTCTGACTATTATAACAAATGCTTTTATTGTTGGTAAAATTTGTTATTGTTATTATACATATTTTGTTAATGGGGTCAAATATTTGAACATGGCAGATGTAACTGATGTTTCAATGTAAAAATTCCTGTATGCATTGTATTATAGCTGAGAAAACAATCGCTTTGGTAATCAAACGTGGAAGTGCCAGGGTGAGAGGATATCTAGGCGAGGTCACATAAGAAACCTGAACACATTTCTGTTTGTTACTGTCCTCCATACATGTCAATGGGCATATTTTTGAATCTAGATAATGCTCTAAAAGAAAAGTCTGAAAAGATCCTTCAAAATGTCCTGAAAGCTCATTGTAAAATTTGCCTTTTTTCGTATGTCTCTCTTTTATTCAGTATACACATTTATACTCTGTGCTGCACATGTCACAAATAAATGTACGATGAACATCGTTAAGCACCGGAGACGTTGCATTATGTCCAGACAATCTTAGGCCAATAAAACAAACATCAACTGCTTACATGACCTGCCTTTTATTGATTTCATTCAAAATAATTTGATCACAGTCACAGCCGATTCCTCCCTCTCTACAGTTAAATTGGATAATGACTGAAATCCTGCATCACACAAGAGTCCAGAGGACACTTGATAAGAGGACCAGATTGTTTTCTGTCTGATCACAATATTTGATTGGGTGCAAATATTTCAGTTTAAAGATAAAGATGGCTGCTTTCCAGGTGTCACTTCAAATTCCTCTGCATATTCAAAATGTTTCCCATCCATGAAGGGACACCAACAGGTCAGCTGAATTACTTTACTAAATCATATACATCATTTTATTTTGAAGGTGTTGATTACAACTGCTGAATTAAACTAATAATTTAGAACATGTTAACAGTACTGTTTTGCAATATCATCTGATGTGCTGACCCTTTTTTTTGTCATACACGTAGTATGACCAAAAAAAAGGAAAAAAAGAGATATTGCAGCAACTCTATGACCGTGTGTGCAATGTGAAACTTGGCAGCAGTTCCAGCCTTTCATCACACTGTGAGACTTACTGTACAGCCACAGAGGGACATCAGCTTGATGAGTGACAGAGGAAAGAGTTTTACATTTGTTTCCACTTTAATTGTGTCCAGGACCCACTCACTATTAAAACCACCCTCTCACTTTGTTGATGAATTTCTGAACCCACTGCAGGTGCTCAAACTTCCCTCCAGTTTAGAGCCTCTTTTTGACTTTTACTTCATCACAACCCAACTGATATCAGTAGTTCCATCCCAGTCAGTTTAGGTTATACTTAAGAACAATGAATGCGTCTGTCATTGTTTGAAAGAGAGATACAAAGTTACAGCTACTTTGAACAGAATGTAGGCAGATTTCAAAATATAAATATGGATAGGACCTGTCCAGGGTGTACCCCGCCTCTCGCCCGAAAGGATGCTTTGATAGGCTCCATCCCCCCCGCGACCCTACTAGAGGATAAGCGGTAGAAAATGAATGAATGAATATGGATAGGTTAACCCATTTATTGTTCACATGATCCTGCTACTTTATATTCATGATGGATTCATGCAACAGTCTGGGTTTGAACTGCAACGCTTTCATTACTGTTCTCGTGGGACCCTAAACTAGAGCATCAGTTTTCCTGATTTCGTCATCAAGGCAGAAGTCAGTGATCTTTCCATGCCCCATTCTCTGCTTGTGGACTGATGGGTAGTTTTCTCCTCACGTCTTCACGCAGCCCTAACACTCACACAAGTCCATGAGCAGAACACATAACACACCATATCAGCACATCCGTTAGACTTGATGTCGCAGAATTGTTGGTGATTTTGTGACGTTTCCTGCTCTTTATGTTTTATCCTTTCATCTTTGGTTGTAGTACATAAATTTACATAAACACGTTAACACATTTTATAACTTTCTCTGTTTTCTGTTGTTATAGTTAGTGTTTACTAAATGTGTAAGATTTTTTTTTTGTTTGTCCCAAGTGAACTCTCATCAGTTCCCTGTATTCTGCACTGTTCCTCTTTCACTGAGCATCCAGTTCACAATATGTGAACGATACCTCCATGTTAAATTATAGTAAGTTTTGACCTGTTATTCACCCACTTCAGTGAATTTAATACCAGAGGCATCCTCTTATGTTTCTTTTTACCTTTTATTATATTTGATTCAAAATTGCACAGTGAAATCCCATGACTAGATTATATTTAGCCTTCAACGACTCCAGCGTTTTTCACAATTTTAGAAATTTTGGCCATGCTACTGATCTCCCAATATCAAATCAAAGATAATATTATTATGATAAATGGATAGCACGCTGTCATATTCACTTCACAAATTGTTCTTGGAATTGAATCTCCAGTCTAGTGTTTATTATTATTATTATTTCTCTTATTTAGACTCATTGCAGATGGCTGTTTGCCTGGGCTCATAGGTCTCTTATTCAATGAGGGCATGAGAGTTGTTGTGTGTAAACACAGGCATCAGGTAGGAATTGCTTTTAAAAGCAGACATAAACACAAGACAAAAATCGTTATGAGTTAATCGTTATAAGTTATGTGTGTGATGCAGTCTCTTCTGCTGTCTACTACACTCCCTTCAACTTCAGTACGTTTTCTAGAATCAATTTATAAGAAAGAGAAGAGTTAAACAAAGACACAACCGCCAACGACACATTGTATTTTCAGAGGTTACACTGACGAAGTGTGATAGAGTTCTCATTTTGTTTTTTCCCAGAATTGTTACTTCCTATTTAGTTGGAATTTGATGTCTTTCTCTCTCCTTTCCTTTGCCAGGGGAAATGTGGGCATAATATTGAGTCCTATTTTAAGCTGCCGTTAATAATAGCATTCCTGAGGTTGACAACACAGGCAATAAACAGTCTCATCACAGGCTGTGTCTCAAAGTATGATTGTAAGCTGTATTTCTTGGCTGCAAAGAGGCACAATCAGTCATTCTCATCTTATTAAAAAATTTTAGTGACACCTTAAAATTAATTACAGCATGCCTGAGAGGTGGTTGACAGTTTGATTGATTTCTAACTAATGTTTCTGTGGAGAAAGAAATAATTCATATGCTTTTGGGTACGCCTTGGCATCGTAACCGTCGCTGTATTGCTTTTACACACATGCACCTGCACATTATAAACAGAACCTTAGCCCACATACCTCTGAGTGTTTTCAATTTCAGCCTGTCATTTAGAGTTTGGAGGGAAAGTGGGTAGCTGTACTTTTTTGGTGATGGAGGATGTGTTTCAAGTAGGCAGCCAACCGCAGGAGAAAACCTCCCACACTCCTGTGACTCTGAGAAGCTGAGTCATCGAGCTCTGGCAGGATGGATGTGGTAGATGAGAGGAAGCCGGGTCCTTCATTGGCTAATGCTGGCCTGAGATCCCCGCCCTGCTGCCTCTCACCGCTAACATAGGTGGATGAATGAATATTGGGTAAAAACAAAAGAGACTAAGCTGACCTTTCCAGTGATGTGTTACAATATACTGTATGTATGGTAGTGGTGGTGTGAACGGTGTGTGTGCTAAATCAGGCTGCATCTGATAATTGTGGCCATAGAGAGTACATTGGCCTTCTTGATGAGGCTTTAATCTCTCTATGTTCTTTCATGTCCAGCTTTCTAAACAAAACAATATTGCCTGGATGAGGCCTTGGCAGGATGTGATTCAGGCCCATGTTGTTCTTGGATTCAGACTCAAAGGCCCTATCATGTCCACCCATTTCCCGACACAAACACAGCTTCAGCCATATGTCATCGCGCTGCTTAACGAGCCCCATAGTTAAGGAATTAGTCTGGAGGGTTTACAGATCATTAGCAGCCATTGAAAACATCCACAGCTTTCCAACAGATTAAGTGAAACGTGCCACTTGATAGCTTCACATGCCCAGCGGCGGCGGCCAATCATGCTCTCGGACAGTTTGCAGATGCATGACACAGCTTTAACTGCTTTAAAAGCTCACACTACTGTACACGACAACTTCCACTGAGAAATGCTATGTCGTCTGCCAGTTTGTTGTATGAAGTAAAGCAGTTTGTATATATGTGTGTCAAATGGCTGATGCCCCATTTCCAATCTGACAATTAAGATCAATATGTCTGAATTCCTCCATCCTAATTTCATAGAGCAAATGTAATGGCAGACCATAAAAGTACAGTGAGATTAAATGTTTTCCCTCGTTGTGTGACGTGAGTCTGAACAATTAAGTCCTCTCACGTAACAAGAAATACAGCCAGACTTCTTTTTCCGAGGGAGCGGATACTTGTGTGGCTGTGGGAGTGAATGAGCTAAATCGCTTGGGTGACTTCAGAGTTAGATGAGGAGGTGTGTGTGCATGTGCACGTGTACCTGTGTGTGTGTGTGTGTGCGTAGGTGCTAAGAGGAGGACAGATGACAGAGGAACTGTAGGCCGGTGGTGCAATCATCTGTACTAATCGAGCTGAACAGGAAATTGCATCATCAGAGAATTGAACTCGGCATGTATGAGGCGACATCACTGCCTGTCTGTTTTCAGAGGAAACACAGTTAATGTGACTAATAGTGCCCCCGGGTATTGAATAATTTACTGTCAATAAGGTTTGTTTTGTCACTCTCTTCAGTCAGTCATGTTATTATCTCCCTGAATCATGTTGATTCCTTCAATAATTGACCTTACTGTTAAGCCTGTGTGTTCAGGGCATTATACCCATAAATATCCAATTCCAACATGCATGAAAACATTTTGTAGTTAGTCACACAATATTTCACTGCACTGACTTCTATCCAAAGAGTAAAACCAACTTATCTTTAATTTTCCTGGGGACCTCCTGGAATCAGGGGTGGTTCCAGAGTAGTTAGGGGGTCCAGATCATGGATGCAGTATAAGAATGGGATAATAGACTTTTTTTACTCCACCTTTTTTTGTACAGTGTGATGTGGCTCTCTGCAAATATGGTCTCTTTCTCTGGCCCTGTCTACTAGTCCAGTAGGCATTTGACTGACATTATGACACATGCATGAAAAGTAGCTTATCTTGGGTCTGGGAAGGTTTTACAAATATTCAATAATTCAGAATACAGACAATATGAACAGACTTTGTGTTTCTTTAGGTGTACTGTCAACAGTTTTACAGATGTAGTAGTCTATGGGGAAAACGCTTTTTGGGCTGAAGGGGATATTCTGATGTTATTTTGGGACACTATTTCTGATGCCACATTCATGTCATATCAGAGTTACTGTAATTACCAGTTTCCCACTTGTAAATAGCATTCACCTCAACATCCAAAGGTAATTACGACTGGGATAGTCTGATATATCCGCCTTGTCACTTGTCACTAAATGTACAGAAGAGCCAGCAAAGTCTGTTGTTAAAGGTAGTTAAACACTGAAACTGCTATACTGAACAAGGAACAGTATTTTTAACCCTCACACATTCAACTCTGTTATTACACTTTCTTCAAAGTACACTGATGTAATAGTGTTTTTAAGCAAACAATTTGGTTGATACATAG